TGACATGAGTATCCTGTTGCTGCCCTCCTCTACTAATACATACTTTGTACATAATTGCAGTGACTGTAGCAAGTAGCCATCTGAGGAATGTGTGAGAATGCTGCTTTAGGACCAGGTCTCACAGAGCTGATCACTTACCAGCTAGCACACATGGGAGTGCTTCACATTACTCTGTAGTGACATTTCGGTCAGGAAATCTTGCCAGTTGACAGGTACCTCCTTCCAGTTGGCCACTCTTCAGCTTGAGGAAGACCGGGGCGGGGGGAAAACAGATCACAGATGTTCAAAATACCTCCCTACTTCATTCTGTAACCCTCCAAAGGACAGAATGACTCCTTTGTGTATAGTAGAGCACAAATTGCGGTGCTCTAATAGACGTATTTCTCTTTATCTCTAAAGTGAAAGGACAGATAGATGGATAGAAGTACTGAACGTTAGGCTAGGCTGCATTGATCCAGGTCTTGCAGAGGAAAGTCTTCAATTTTTCAGAAAAATACTAATTGATAAAAAACAAAACAAATGGATAGTCGATTAGGGATACTGGTGAGCTAAGGAAGAAAGGGAAGCTTTACTCACATGCTCCTTCCTTCTTACTGCTAGGTGTATGTACCCTGGAGCCACCCTTTTACATTGTGACAGAATATATGCCGTATGGGAACCTGCTAGATTATTTACGAGAATGCAACCGGGAGGAAGTGAGTGCTGTTGTGCTACTCTACATGGCCACGCAGATCTCCTCTGCTATGGAGTACCTAGAGAAGAAGAACTTCATTCACAGGTGGGTGAAATCCCATTGGGCTGGTACAATCTCCGATTGTAATGATGCATGGAGTACTACCGTGGTGGCCCAGGAATTCCTCCTTCTGCGGAGTTTTCTTCCAGAATTGGGTTTCACACTGGGTCATCCATTGGTGGTTTTGGTTTTGACACTATGTCTTATCGTCGTTAAGGGAAATTTGAAAGGCTTTGTAGTGTGTTGCCATTTAGATCTTTGGCACTGGCTTGCATTACCTTCTCCCCATGACTTTCATAGCAGACTTAAAATCTTGTGCATGACTGCCTGACAGCTGTGAAAGTTAGTTGGTGCTGCCAGTTCTGATGTCCCTCTTCAGGGCAAAGCACTGACAACCAGAATTTCCTATTTTAATCCAGTAAGATAAAACAGTGCCATAAAGCTGTTACCGGTGTGTGATGAGCTGCTGATCTCATCCTGTTCTTAGGAAACATAAACCACTCATCATAACAGCTATCATACTGCAAACTGAATAGAATTTCAAGAATGAACCCTAACCTTTCTGCTCTTAGGAATAACTCTGCTCAGTGTCTGACCCTATGTAGAGCAAAGCTCATATTGCCTTTACCTGCTGTATAGAGAGATTGCTTCTTCATAAGAGAGAGAGAGAGAGACTACTGAACTAGGAAATTGCATTTAAAAGTCCTCTTGCCCCAGTAAAACAGTATGCTTTTTTTCTTTATACAGGGACCTGGCAGCACGGAATTGCTTAGTTGGCGAAAATCATGTGGTGAAGGTGGCTGACTTTGGCTTAAGTCGACTTATGACTGGAGATACCTACACAGCTCATGCTGGAGCCAAGTTCCCAATCAAGTGGACAGCTCCTGAGAGCCTGGCCTATAACACCTTTTCAATCAAATCAGATGTGTGGGGTAAGGAAACTCTAATGTTCTGTTCCATTTCATTTTGTTTTTCTTTGACAGCCTGAAGAGTAAGTTGCTTTCTGGCCGGGCAGAACCACATGGGTAAGGAGGAGCTCAAATACCAGGCTACAATATCACAACTCACTAGCATTTTTAGCCTGTAATGTCTCTGTCAAGGCTGACCTGAAACATCTGCAAGAAAGAGATGCTGCCTCAAGCTGCAGTGAAGGCCACAATTGTAACAAGCAACACAAAAGACGAGGGCAGTCTTACAACCAGGATTTTTTTTTTCCTCCTTGTGCAGCCTTTGGGGTGCTGTTATGGGAAATCGCCACCTATGGCATGTCGCCATACCCAGGCATCGACCTGTCTCAGGTGTATGATCTGCTGGAGAAGGGCTATCGAATGGAACAACCCGAGGGGTGCCCTCCGAAGGTTTATGAACTGATGAGGGCATGTAAGTATTTTCTTCCAGTTTGGGGGACAAATCCTGGGATAGGTGGGAGAAATCTGTAACTAACAGTCCTTTGCTTTCTATGTGCCGTTTTGTTAGCTAGTGTGGAAACGTCCACGTTACCCGAGAGCTATCTGGTTACTGATGCAAAGTGAGTCTAGTCTCTAGGGGACAAGAATTCACCTCTGAAAACTTTTTCATTCATCTCTATGGGAGCAGCTAGATAGGACTTTGTGGCAAATTGTACTAGTGTTTTGTGAGTGAGACTCTTACTACAGAATCACAGACTCAGAAGGAAATTCATTTCTCCTCAAACACCGCAGCTGTGCAGGAGATGTGTAGTTGTGAAGGCTGCATAAAATGAATCCTCCAAGACACTGCTCAGCAGTGGCCATGAAAAGCTCCCTCATGCTATTTATCAAATTGAAAATCTACCAGTTAAAGAGCAAAAGCCACAATTAGCATGCTACAGGAAGAGAGCACGAAAGGTTAAGGGCATTGCCGATGTCCTTCAGTCCCAGAACAGCTGAAAACATATTCAGAAAAAGGCTGAAGATCCTGGGAAGCAAGCCATGCCATGCTGTTGAGGAAAGTAAACAACTCTGAGTAGACCCTGTCAGTCTAACCAAGGTGTGGAAAGAGTCTCCTTGATGCTAACTCGTGGGGTTGATGTGGCCCTCAACGTACAAGACAGATGAACCAAGGCTTAAGAAGGCCCTGTATGGCTTGTTTTCAGCCTGATACCTAGCACTTCAGAGAAAGGTGGAGGGAGAAGTTAAGTTATGAAACAAGGATGCAGAGTAGCGAGGAAGGCGATTCCTTCAAAATCCCTGCAGGAAGCTGACAAAAGCCAAAAGGCATTGAATTAATTCGATATTAATCCAACACAGTACGAGCAGAAGGCCAGTCACCTTTCACACCCTGTAGCGATATCAAAAGATCAGTGCTCCCAGGGTACGTTCCCGTAGCATAGTTCTCTAATTATAGAAATTCCACCTTTTGTTGTCATTCCATAACTTACCAAGCTCTATTTTAGAGCGACGTGCTCCCTTCCTCCGTCCCACCATGCAGGGTGCACGTGCACACATTTTTCTTTTGGAAGACTCTGTCTGAATTTCAGTATTCAGAGCACGTGAGCAGAATGTTGCCTGCCTGCAGCTTAGCGCGCACAGTTACCTGTGACTTGGTAGATGAGTTCAGTCCCCAGCCAGGGTAGCAAACATGGAATTCTCCTTTGCCTGGAAAAGGAAGGGAGATGGGGAGATCAGAAAAGCCCATGGAGACGGGAGAGAGATGGGCTTTCTAAAATTGGTTCCTTTGCTCTCACGACCTGTTTGTTAGGATATGTAAGGGTGGTTGCTGCTATGAATTAGTACCCGACTGAATCTAAAGCCTACATAATAGCAGGAGATCATTGTCTGTCTACAGTTCGGAGAGCTTAGGTATTGCCTACCTCCTTGAACAGAATAAAAAATAGCCTCCTACCCTGCTTCAGGCAGAGACCTTTCTTGCTTTCTCATGCTGCAGGTTGGAAGTGGAATCCACCAGACCGACCTTCCTTTGCTGAGACCCACCAGGCCTTTGAAACCATGTTCCACGACTCGAGCATCTCTGAGGGTGCGTACCCCTTTTGCCTTATTTCTGAAACTTAACAGTTTCACCTCCAAAATGCTCTCTGGAAGCTTAGGTACAGGCTCTTAAGGCTCATTTGCTAGCCATGGAGGGCTAGCCATGTGATGAAGGCTTCATCCCTTAATTGTTTAACCCTGTATCTGTAAATAGGTGATCTTATTTACTGCCCGAACACTGAATACGCTTCAGAAACATTCCAGTGCAGGGAACAGTATAGTAATTCATTTGAGCATCAAGATACAAAGAAACAGTTTTAAAGGATATTGTCGCTTGCTTCCCAGACTGGAGCATAAGGAATAGTGAATGATGCTGAGAGAGAGAGAGAGGAAGATACATGCATATCATAGTCCATTTTTGACTGTGGAAATTGTGTGATGAAATATTATTCTGCTAGCTCTCATTTAAGAAAAGTCTGCCTTAATCTCTGGATCTTCTACTTCACTACTTCTAGGAGCAAATCTGTGCAACTAAACTCTCAAACATAGTCACCTCGGAGATAAAGACTTTTGAGAAGTGTGAAACTAGACAGGAGATAGACAGAACCATCCATCCACTTCCCTACTACAGAAAAAAACACATCAGAGATTGAATTCTACCAGGAAGGATTTAGAATAGGCAACTCAGTTGGCTCCCAGAAATGCCATCCTGGAGGTGGCCAGGAGATTTGTTTTTATTGTTGTTTTTAATCTCTTACCTTGTGTTGGTGTTGGGAATGAAGCACGCTGTCTTCACTTTTAATAGGGAGATCCAGTGCTTTGCCTCAAGCAAAGGAGCTTAGATCCAGATCCAGAGGGAACACGACTTTGGGGGATCTCAGCAACATCTGTAGGAGGCACCTTGATTAGAAACAGAGGCAACTGCTTTCTAGAACTTTAGTTCTAGTTAAGCACTGCATGAGCAATGCTTAATCCAGCAACAGACCTTCTCTTGTACAGATCTTAACCACCTTTTTTGCACTGAATTTGTAAATGAATTAATTTGAAAGCATGAGAGGAGGCATCTTATCGTAAACACCTCTGGACTCGAGCAAAAACTACTTTTATAGATTACTTGCTTTCTCAGTCAATACCTCTTCTTCCTAGTCTGGGTCTGCAATAAAGACCTAGATTTCTTTTTTCCCTTCCTCTGCTGGTCTCTCTTCCAACTATTCCCTCTGTTTTTTTTCTTACAGAGGTAGCAGAGGAGCTTGGAAGAACAGCCTCCTCCTCATCCATAGTTCCCTACTTGCCCCAGTTACCCATGCTTCCCTCCAAGACTAGAACACTGAAGAAACAGGCAGAGAACAAGGAGAATATTGAAGGAACACAAGATACTGTGGAGCACTCGGCTTCCAGCTCAGCACCAGGTATGGGCATTAGGACAGCGGCAAAGAGACCGTGTCTTCTGGGATAGGTTTGCTGCTAGTGTAAATTGCCAGAGAAGCAGGAAAAAAAAAAAAAAGGAACAACATGTCTCAGCTGGAGTTCTGCAGCAAACTATCCTATCGGGATGGCTTGTTGGCTTAATGTTTCAGTTAGGATGCAATTAAGTACAGTGACTTTCCCCAAATGCAGTACTTACTGTGTTACTGCAGTAGGAGAGACAGGGCTAGAAATCTCCCTGGCTGTGTTTACTCTTCTTGGAGTAGTGAAGTGGAGTGGTCAGAATAAGAGAAGATTTGCTTTCTCAGGGAGCTGAGGCAGCTGAGGGACAAGATGACTGATGTGGAAGAAAGCAGGGTAGTCTTTTTGTTTGGCGATGGCAGAATGGTACAGAAGAGGGTGGAAGCTCTTGGTCACAGTACAGGTGCCACTTTTCATTGCAGAGAACGCAGAAGGACTGCTCTTGACAACTAAGGTGAGACCATGTCTGGGTAGGCACTTCAGACTTCTCCGTTTTGCTCTCAGGTTATGGAACAAAGAAACAAAATCCTGGAACGTGGAACAGTTTTGTGGCAAACATGCGTGTGCACTCTGGCTAGACGATTATTCAGGCTTACTCAAGTTGGAAACCAAGTTAGCCCCCATCTGGCCCGAGCACTCCTTCCCGTGACAGGCCAGTGCTTTTAGCTGCTATGTTATTCGGGTTGTTTGGCACCGCAGCAGCACAATCATTTACTAGCAACTAGAAAACACTGCAGCTTGTTGGTTGTTCGTTCAGTAAACCCCATTGCATTTTTTTCCTTTAAATTTGGTTTTGTTGCCGTTTAAACAAGGCAGCCTCAAAACTAAACCTGACAAAAATGCAGGTTTTCTTTTATAACGGCCGCGTTTGTGGAAGGAGGAAAAAGCTACAGGAAGAGGGTAAGACACTGGAAGAAAAGAGCACTTCACTTTCTCCTGAACTCTCTACTAAATAGTAGGCAATAGACAAGTTGTACATGCAGAAGTAAAAAAAAAAAAAAAAAAAACCCAAAAGCATACCGGCACAAAAATAAAAAATGCTATCTTCCTCTCTCAGTCCCGCTCTGCAGATCCTGGGCACCTAAATATCCCAGGCCTGCAAAACCTGCTGCAGGATAGGAAGGTGGAAATGGAAAACGACTCTTCAGATTTGCATTTTTTCTTTTTTTTTTTTTTTTTTGTGTAGGTTTTATCAGAAGCACACAGCCAACGAGTGGGTCTCCTGCCCTGCCTCGCAAGCAGAGGGACAAGTCACCCAGCAGCCTGTTGGAGGATGCCAAAGAGACCACTTTCACCAGGGACAGGAAAGGTGGCTTCTTCAGCTCCTTTATGAAGAAGAGGAACGCTCCCACACCTCCGAAGCGCAGCAGTTCCTTCCGGGAGATGGAGAATCAGCCCCACAAGAAATACGAGTTAACGGGTAACTTTTCGTCTGTTGCTTCCTTGCAGCACGTGGACGGGTTCTCCTTTGCTTCCACTCAGCAGGATGCAGGCCTGGTGCCACCAAAGTGCTATGGTGGGGGCTTTGTGCCAAGGACCTTCTACAGCGACGACAGCAGTGGTACCAGCGGTGGTGGGGGTGTGAGCACTGGTGGTGGGTGGTCGGGCATCACAGGTTTCTTTACACCACGCTTGATTAAAAAGACACTGGGTTTACGAGCAGGAAAACCCACTGGCAGCGAAGAAGCTTCAAAGCCTTTTCCAAGGTCAAACTCTACATCTTCCATGTCCTCAGGGCTTCCAGAGCAGGATAGGATGGCAATGACCCTTCCCAGAAATTCCCAGAGGTCAAAAATCCAGCTGGAACGAACAGTGTCCACCTCCTCTCAGCCAGATGAGAGCACAGGGAGGGCCAGTGACCTGCTTCCCAAAAGGTTTGAAGAAGGCCCTGCTTTGACCAGAGAGAGACCAAAAGCAAAACTCTTGCCGAGGGGTGCCACAGCTCTCCCTTTCCGAACCCCCTCTGGTTCGGAAGAAAAGGAGGGTCCGGGGCTAGCAGCAGCTCCTAAAAGCAAAGAAAAAAACACTGGCCCACGGCAGGGGGCCCTTGAGGATGGTGAGAGACCAGGGTGGTCATCTCCAGCAAAGGCTGCAGCAATACTTCCAACCACTCATAACCACAAAGTGCCAGTCCTAATCTCACCCACTCTAAAACACAGTCCAGCAGACGTGCAGCTTATTGGCACAGACTCTCAGGGTAATAAATTTAAGCTCTTATCTGAGCATCAGGTCACTTCTTCCGGCGACAGGGACCGGCCCAGACGGGTAAAACCAAAGTGTGCTCCACCTCCACCACCAGTGATGAGGCTCCTACAACAGCCAGCTGCCTGCTCAGATGCAGCAGAAGAGCTGGGCAACGTGGCAGGAGTGCAGCACGGACTGGAATCGAGCGACGGGAGTAAGAAGGCGGCAGCAGCAGCAGCAGCAGCGGGCTGGAGCCGGGAGCGGGCTGCTCTCCTGCTGGGGCTGCGCAGCGGTGCCCCGGCTCCCGCAGCAGCAGGCGGCTCCGCAGGAGCAGGAGGGCGACCGGCCTCCTCGTGCGCCCACCGCCAGCCACGGACACCCCCCAGCGCCCCCCCAGATCTTCAGGAGAGACCATCGCAGCAGCAGCAGCAGCAGCAGCACCTGTTGGTGGAAAATCTGGGAGGCCTGTGATGCCTCCACCTCAAGTGCCTCTGTCATCGTCTTCCACCTCCCCGGTGAAAATGGCCAATGGCACGGCTGGTGCAAAAGTGGCACTGAGAAAGACCAAACAGGCAGCCGAGAAAATTTCAGCAGACAAAATCAGCAAGGAAGCGCTGCTGGAGTGCGCAGATCTTCTCTCGAGTGCCATCACCGAGCCAACACCAAACAGCCAGCTGGTGGATACAGGGCACCAGCTGTTGGATTACTGCTCAGGCTACGTGGACTGCATCCCGCATACACGCAACAAATTTGCCTTCCGGGAAGCCGTGAGCAAACTGGAACTCAGCCTGCAGGAACTGCAGGTGTCATCAACAGCTGCTAGCGTCCCTGGGGCAAACCCTGTCCTTAATAACTTATTGTCATGTGTCCAAGAAATCAGCGATGTGGTGCAAAGGTAGCTACTGTCAATCTGGGTAAGAGAAACACACATGGGGGGGACTTTTTTCTGTACTGATGCTTTCAAAAGGAAAGACTGATACTTGAGTATGTGAAGTACCTCAGATCACTGAGTTCTCCTCACGTTTACAGGTTCATCTCAAAAATGGGGAGGGAGAGGGTAGATTAAAGCTGTATGGGACAGAACACCAGGCATTTGTCCCTACCGAGTCACCCCGGTCTGCCTGGGTTGGCAAGGGAAGGAAGTCCTTGCTCCTCCCTTTGAGAGGCAGGAGACTCAATGGCAGGTTTTTTTGCTATGGGAAGGATGGTTTGCCATGTGATAGCTGGAGTACTGCAGTGGCTGCAGGCCACTTAGCTCTACAGATCCTCCCCTATCTGCACTAATGCATGCTTGGGCCTCCTGACAACGCAAAGGCAAGGCACTGGGGCTCTGCTGGTACCAACTGCCAAGCAGTCTGAGCGGGAGCAGCTTCGAAGGGGACAGTTGCATGCAGTTGGGGAAAAGGTCTAATGCACTGACAGTATTCAGAGCTGCTGGAGGTGGATGCACTAGCCCAGATGGCTTACTTCCACAGTGCTGTTGCTGCTGTAACGAGAACTGCAAAATGAGTTAATATATGAAAACTGTCCCTTTTCCCTCCTGTCCACCTCATCTATCACACATTCTCGTTTTCATTATACCTGAGGCATCAGGGATGCTGGGCAGACTTACCACTGGAATACCCCCTTCCCCACCACACCGCCTTCACTCAGTTGATACCCATTTCTAGTGGTCTAGCACAGGTGCTACTTGATGGTCATTTGTGAGTAGTTTGGGGTTCTTGCACAACCTGCCAGTGTTGTTGTTATCGGGAGGGAAGGGTGTTGTTTTTTGGTTTTTGTTTTTTTTTTTTTTTTAAAGCTCTAGATTGTTTTTAACTTGTTACCAGGTTGACTCCCCAATTCTGTTTCATTACCTTGAGGACCCATAGTAGGTAAGGCAGAGCCTCCACCACCTCCAGCCCCTGGCTGCTCTCCACATTCCTTTAGCAGTCAGAGTGCTGCTGCAGCCAGCTGGAAAACCAGAAAATACAGCGTCGCCTGCCCTGCCCTGCCGTGCCCTCTCACTGCTGCAGGCTTCACTGGACCAGTCCCTACTCTGGCATAACACTAACTCTGCAAACTGATGGCTTTCTAGGATTTGCTCTATTGCCTACCTTGCAGGCGCTTCCTCTTCCCTGGATATGAAGGTGAATAGTTACGTGAGCACCCACGGGAATCACAGCCATCCTTTTATTTACTTAAAGACTAGACCAGACTCTCATGCTGCAGAGTTAGGGAGCGTGCACATATAACTGCACACTCCTCTGCCTGAGGCTTGACAAAAACTGGTATGGCTCTGCCTTGGAGAGCTTCCACTGGTCTCTGATGCCTATTGACAATCCCAGAATGAAAGCAATCATGTGGTGGAAGTTGTCTTCCTGGGTCCTGGTGCTGTTTGTAGACTATTGTGGCCTCGGAAAGCCAGCGTCTGTGTATACGCACAACTGCCTAGGATGTAAGCGTACTGGCACATAGGAAGACCTCAACCAGTCACGTGGTTTGAGAAAGGGAGAAAACAGGCCTGGTACCTATCTCCAAATACACATGTGCTCCTGCATGCTGCTGTTCACTTTTCACCCTGTTGGTGATGATAGAGAATCTGGCTTGCTTTGCACCTTAAATCTTTTATTTTTGGCTAAAATGCTTTTTAAACTTGTTTTTGAAGTGTGACAGTGTTGCTTTTAATTTGAGCATTTATTGTTGAGCTGGGGCACAGGCGTGAATTAGAGGATTGGCACTTCGGTTTCTACCTAGAAGCATTGCCCTGTTGGTGCTCGAAAGTAGGCTGGTCCGTCTCAGCATATGGCCCTAGTTTTTCTATGGAGCCTAGTGAGACAGTGGCCTGAAAAAATCTTTAGAAATGAGCTGGTGTCTGGGAACCCTCACTTTATTACTGTTCTGTGGTAAATGAAGCTGTGTCACGATGCACGAACGCGCACCAGTGGAGCGGTGTGTGAGGTGAAATGGACCACGTGAGCTTCACTGTCAAAGTAAGTGAAATGCTAAAAAAGAGACCTAACCCCTCCACCACAAACCAGACACATTAAAGTGAATTAATTGATCTTACAGGTCAGTTTTACTCTGCTGAGGCGACACCTAAGCGAGGACAAATGAAAGTACAGTGCGAGTTAGCAGTCCTGACTTAGTAGTACCAAGCCCACGTGACAAAGCCTGCTGTCTAGTTCTGCAGGAGCGTGGAGCTTCAGGCTGTCCTCTCGTATGGTCCTTAAGCTCCAAGCCTCACTGAGCAGCGGGGCAGAGGGGATGGGGGAAAGGCTGCACTGGGATTCTTTCACGGTAAGGCAGAGTACCAAACCATTATCTTGTAGACTTTACTGAGGGCTTTTGTGGTTTACCTTATCTCTTTCAGTCATCTTTATTGCATGTGTGTATCCCTGCACACCAAACTATCTGCCTTTGGAAAGGTGACCTGCAAAGGGAAAAGACTTGTGGTGTTGCTTCATGTTGCCTTTTAAACATCAAAGGGATTGAAAAGCTAGGCGAGCTTTCGTAGTGTCAGATACGCAGGCCTCGTCTGCCGCGGGAGACGATCTCACAGTTTCATCACTGTATTACTACTCAGCCTAGTAGAAACAGACTGAAACTGAAGTGATTCTCAGGGGAAAGGTATTTTAACCAGAAACTTTTAAACCTATTGTAGACATAACTCCAATTCTGATAAGTATTTTGAAAGAAGCCGCCTTTTTTTCCCTGATTGCCAGTCGCCCAGAAAAGCACCAGCAAAAGTGATAGAATAGCAGGCCATTCCTGGAATTTCTAATTATTTAAGCTCTTTCAACCCTTTTTTACCCTTCTGAGAAAACAAATTGCGTTCTAACAAGGTACCTCCCCAGCGCTAGTTATCCACGCTTCCTTTAAGATGCCTAGTTTCTCCTCCCCTACTCCAGAACGGGTGGACAGCGTGACAGAGCAATGCCCTGGTCTGGCCTGGGCAGCATCATAGCTCTGCAGCCTCTGAGCTGAAAAAGCCCGGTGCTTTTAAACAGCAGCCGAGCGTCGGTTCTGACCCCTCCAGCAGAGGGAAAACAGGACAGTGAAATTTCCGGGATTTGCTCGTCAGGGGTCCTACAAAGTTTCTTTGCTCTTATGTATTGTCTTATTGGCATCAGGTAGGTGGTGGTGGAGGTATTGCTGACTCGACACTAATTTTTTCCCCCTAAACAGGAGGCTGCAGAATTGTTGCTGCCTCTGCTCACTCTCCTGCCCAATATTGTTTTATTCCACAATCTGAATTTCCTCATGCCCTCTGGCAAGATAGCAAAAGGACGGGATCTGGGGAAGTTGATTCTCTTGTGAATCACAGGTCAGTTTTACTTTCTTCCATAGCCATTCTCCAAAAATTGTCACAGTTCTGTCTCCCTTCTGATAGGTTTGGCTTTCTGCTCAGCTTTAAAGACCTCTACTGTAGCAGCTACTCTGCTCTCAGCCTTGCACAGTATGTTTGAAGTACCATAAGGACGGAGAAGCCCTGTTACTTTTTCTCGTGAAGGGCACCCGTTGCTCTGCTCTTTGTGGACAAGGCATAAACTCCTACTGAGTTTCCTTTTTTCACCACTGTGAGAAGGCCTCGTGCGCTAAGAATGCAACTGCAGCCTGGCTCCCTAATTAACTTGCACTAGTATGGGCTAGAATTTAATCTTCCTTGCAAAAGGAGATAGTATCAAGCAGGGCCTGGTAATGCCAAGCACAAAGCATGTGCTCACACAAGTGAGTTGACTTGGGGCACTTTCTCTTCCTAGCTACTGTGGGCAATTAGCCAGCTCGCAGGTGCAATTCTCTTCCTGCACTGTACACCCTTTTAACCCCCAAACTGGTGCACTCCGCTGCCTGACTGGCAGCACTTTGATTTTATCGTACTTTTCATCAGTGCTGATAGAGCCGAGGCTGAATTAAGGGTTTTGGTCTTGGGAATGCATCAAAGTTAAGCATCTGGGAAAGCAGAATTGAAGGGAGCAACGTTCCTGATGCAGAACACAGTGGGGAGGTGCACCTACATGTTCCTGTCATCCTCACACAGGACATTTCTCCTGAACACCACTGGCCTCATGTCAGCGAGAACACAAACACATGGGGGTTGACATCCAGTTACAGGCGTGCCTACCTAAGAGCTTTGTGGCACGCCACTCTCGGCAGGCAGCAGGATCTCAACCCCCCAGAGCGAGGGCTCGGACCACAGGCTCTGCAGCAACTCCTCTCTTGCTACTATGGAGCAGAGTGGGGCAGTAGCTGTGCCCGAACTGCTGGGCTCAACAGAGCAGCCCCTCTCTGAAAGACAGGGAGCGTGTGACCGGTCAGGTAAGAGGGGTTACGTGCAGTCAGAGTGTTTCGAATAAAGGAACACAGACGTTGTCGTCTGCACCGCTTACCTGACGCAGGCTTCCCAGGCAGCGGAGGGGCTCGGCGTTGTGTTCGTTGGTGCTCTTGGGCAATAGCAGCTGTGACAAGCACTAATGAATCGAGATGATCTTTTTTTTTTTTGCAAATGTTGCAGACTGCTGTTTTTTGTTTTAAAATGCTCCACCCCAGCCCTGCTACTAACCAGTAGCTGACAGAAACGGAAGGGTAGTGACTACAGCATGCTCAGAAACCTCCCACGTCGTGTGAACAGCACCATCCGGTACCTTGTGCAAGTGGATGTTTTGCATGGATGGGCAGTGGGGTTGCAGTCCAATTGCCAGCAGTATAGAACAAAACCTTTCGCCTATTCCATGTTGGTAGGAAACAAGCGGTTATGGGACACCTGACTTACCTGTAACACCTACAAGGTGAGAAGTGTCTGTAGCAAAGGAGATCACTCTTCCAAATGTGTCTGTTGTGCATGGGGGGTAAAGACTGATCAACTCAGCACACTGTTTGTTATCAGTAGTGAACTCGTAGAGGACAGGAATGGATTAAACTGAAACACATTAATCACCAATCACTCTACCAGTGTTGTCAACTGTTTTTGTTTTTAATTGTTATTGTAATATATTTTGGTTGTTTTTCTAATTTAATTCTCTCACTATCGTCTGACTGTGAACTGCGAACAGTGTTAAACTTGATGTAAATAAGGCCCTTTGAAGGGTCTCTTTGCCTGTCGTTCCACAAAGTTTTGCCAATTTGCATTTTGTTTTAAATAAAGGTTGCAATATTTTATTGGCAAATAAACTTGAATATATGCTTTTTTTTTTAAAAACATTTGGACTTGCTTATTACACTAAGCTGAAGTCAATTATTTGGGCGTGAAAGACAAGATGATTTATAAACCTGTTAAAGAGGGAGATAATTTAATTCTGCCAGTTTGCAAAGAAAAGCAGTTATCTTTAGTTATGCCTTTAAAACTGAACTTAATGATGCCCTGGAGTGGTCATGGGAAAGTGGTTCCTGGTGCTGCAGCTGCATAATCAAACGCTCACTTAATTCTCAAACATACACACTAGCGTGACCCGTCAGGGCACAGGGTCTTGCATCATCAGTTTGACATTTGCCCTCATTATTAACACCACTTTCTTTTTAATTAATAATGGAATAAGAAAAACTATTTAACATGCCAACTTCGCACCAGCCAAACGCTGTTGAAACGCCTGTTAAAGTGACTTCCTTCCACTCTAAGCAGCACTCTAACCTGGACAGCTGAGGGTTCTTTTCTATTAAAAACAAAACAAAACAAAACAAATCTCATCCCTAGTTACAACTTTCTAAGCCAGTTAGCTATGAAGCAGAACCTGAGTTGCGTGCTCTTGTCTCCCTGCTTTCTCAGCTGACTTCCCTCTCTGCATCTCCCTCTTCTGTTTCTCAAGCTGTAGCATTAGGATTGAGATTCGTGATTAGACGATCATCCATAAACCAAAGCTCAGAAATGCCTCAAAGCGCAGGCTGGCACAAACCTTAAGGTCCAACCGAAAGTCAAACAACAGATAGGTTTAAAGTAACTTCATCAAGAGAAGAAAGCAGCTGGCCCATCTGTCTGCCTTGGACTATGAAGCCTCATTAGATAACGGAGCCAGCATGCCAGGAGGGAAGCACTAACTCAAAGTCTGCGGTAGTATTAAGTACGTCTGGTCAATCTTTTTCCAGAGGTCGTGCTGCTCGCCATTGGCATCGCAGAGGTTCAAAGCTTAAAATAGATCAAAGGTCCACACATTCAGTGTCCAGGTAACTAAACGCTGTCCTTGGCATGTGCCGTTTCACCTGATCTTCCTTAACATGGCTGTGTTGGAAGGGAGTTTTGACCTAGAGGTCACAAAGTGATTCCTGTAATGCTGTTGAAATTTTTTGGTCCCGCTGTAACATACTTATCATTTGGCAAGTACCCAGACAGCAAACAGCCCCTCTGTGTAGTAATGCTGATACCAGCCAAAAGCCACAGCGTGCAACATACTTAAAAAAAAAAAAAAAACGAAAACCCACCAAAAACCACAGGGGGCAAAAAAATTAAAAAAAAAAAAAAAAAAAAAAAAAAAAACACACCCACAACCTTACTCCATCTCTGAAAACCAGAACTCACCTGCAACCTGTTATTTCGGCCACTATCCTCTTCAACAGCCCTTTGCCCTCGAGAGGGGAATTTGCCTCCCCCTAAACCAGATCCTGTGCTGAAGCGAACAGCTTTTCAAACTGCTTAGAAAAATAACTTTAATCTCAGCAAAAGCCATATATATTCACCTCATCCCCGTATTTGCTTCCATACAACGAAAGACTCCGATGAGAAAGGGGAGAGCAGGAGCGCTCCAAAGCAAGAGGCTAAGGATCTTAGGTCTCCAGAGGAGACTATTCAGTCATTCTCTTTATGCAAGGGCCTCCTTACTCAGAAGCATGAACCTGCCATGTGAGTCCCTGAAGGGCAGACAACCTTGTGAATGCAGGAGAGCAACAGCGAAAACTCCAGCAGAACAGCTGGGTGCAGTGTGAGAGCTTGTAAAGTGACCAAGAAAGCCGGGGACAGGGAAGAGGGAGCAGTTGCTGCTGGACTGTCTCACTAACAGCAGTCTGTCCAAGGCCTTCATTACATTGTAACAAAGCAAGGATTTGGACATCCCTGCTCACCTAAAGCGCAGCATCTTTCAGCACAACCAAATCACTACTTCAGGCTAATAACCTGCTAGAAGGTGAGACTTAGAAACGCTGGATGACTTAAAACACAGCCAAGGGCAGGCTGTCCCAGCGTCCCATCAGCAAGATTCAGCAGGCTGCACCTCCTTCCCTGCAAACAGCCCTCACCGGTGACAAGGAGTTAAGTTTCTGTCCCTGCGCAAGTGTGCAGCTGGGTAATCTGCTTGCCTGATCTTCTGAACAGAGAGCAGCTCCAGGTACGCAGAGCCACCTTCATCGCTGGCACAGTCCCACCTGGTGTTCAGGGAAGGAAGTAATTGATGCGCTGAGATACAGATTTACAGCCCTGTGCTGAGAAAAGTTTCTCCTCTCTGGGGACAAACACCATCATCCTGGCCACCTCGTCAAGGGCTGCCTCTGTGTACGGAAGTCCACGGGCCAGGAAAGCATCCCGTGCACACAGTTTCACATGGCGATACTCCAGGGGCAGGAATGGCACAAAGTAGTCAATGAGGTTCTCTTCGAGGAAGTGGCTGCGGGCGTAACTGTTATCTGTAGCAAAAAGCAAGACAACACAAACTTCAGAACAGCGAACACCCCCCTGCTTGTTACCTTCCGCACTTGCAGAGAGCTTCACACAGCTTAGCCAGGCATTAGGAGAGACTGGGCAGTCAGGAGAAGCCAGCTTGATAAGGAAGCACGGGCCAAAAGAGGCCAGGTTGGTCTTGCTGGGGTTACATCCTTCAGCTGAGATCCGGCATCCCATTGCAAACACGTCCGTCTCTCCTGAGGGCCTGTCTCAGATGGCTCTTCCCTCTCTCCCAGCCCTACGTGGTGGGAGAGAGACACCCTTCCACTTGTAAAAAGTTGTCCAGCACTTAGTCTGAACACAGCTACGCCACCATGGCTTACCCACCTGAGGCCCAGAGGAGCCTAAATGCCCTGAGGAGCCCTGATACCTCACTATAAGCCATTAGCTCCCCATTAGCGCAGCCTCCAGGGAAGGCTACCTTTCACAGCCTGGCTGTTTTCAGGGGCAGAAGGGGGTGAGAATGCCTCGCAGCTCCCTTTTCTCTGTACCTGTACTGCAGCAGTGCCATGCTTATAGGGCTGTGCTTATGTGGATCACGTAACAGATACACGTTAAAAACAATGCTGGTGCAGGGCTGGAATAAACACTTGTTCCACGGTGCACACACCTGTGCAGCACAAGGTGCACATTGCTGCGTAAGCAAGGCGCCAGCCAGCACGCAGGGCAGTCTGCAGCTGGGCGTGCTGCCCGCCCGTGCCACCCCACGGCAGCCCAGCTCTGTTACCTGCAGGTTCCTGCAACTCCAGCCGCAGCTGCTGCTCCAGGAACTCCATGGAGATCTCCTCCCGCGCCCGCCCAGCTCGCCAGAAGTCCAGGGCTACCTCATTGATGGTGTTGCCGCCAATATTGCTGCAGAGAGAAGGGAAGTCGCTCAGCCCCACAACCAGTGACAAACTATTCAGAGCTGCCAGCAACCTCCCTTACAAAGAGGCCTCAACAATTCCGTTAGCAATAAAGGATTTACTGTGTAGGCTTAAGCATCCGAAACATTCACATACAGAGGAGCTTGCTTGCTTCCCAAAGAGCCCCTTTCTGTAGGCATCTATAGAACAAGTATCTTCCACCTGGCCAGCCCAGATCCTGGGGTAGCTGCTTTCTCTCCCAAGGTGACACCAGGAGCCAGCAGTCTCCCACCATCTGTCAGTCTCCTGTCCCAGCTGGGATGCAATCGACTTTGCAGGTGACACTTGGCCTCACATCAAACTCTCTGCCACTGAAAGTCCAAGCCAGAGAGCAGAGCACATGGCAGGAGTCCCACTAGAAGCAAAGGCCCTGGGCAGCTATTCAAGCGGCAGCCCAGGACTTGGCAAAGCATCCCCTACCCGAGGGGCAGAATAGCTGCAGTTCCCATGCAAGGACTCCGCTGAAAACCCACCACAGGTGCAGCTGGATGCCAGGGACACAGGGTCCTGACAGCCATCGAGGCTCCAGGGCAGCCCCCTTGTCTCAGAGAGCAGTCCCAGGCCAGACAGCCCACGTGCTGGCGAGGAGCGGGCAGCGGCCTCAATAGCCGTTCACCCCCAGCAGCGCTCTGCTGCCAGCGACCTGCCGATACTAGAAACCAGCTGCCCATGGGGTTTGTGTAGGCGGGAGGCAGAGAGAGGAGCCTGGCACGGGAGACTCAGATCTGAGACCCGTTTCCTCTTGTATCAGTGACTCTTGACCCTTTCCCCAAACGGAGGGGAGGCAAGATGAAAAAGCCACCCCCATTTTCACCCCACTGCCTTGCCAGCACAGCTCGTACTGATCCTGCTCCCAGATCGCAGCCTTTTGAGAAACAGCCCCTTTTGTCCAAGGGGACACAGAATGTCCCATCGCAATCTCCATCCCTGTCACCCAAACCTGGCCAAAACCTTGGCCAGGATCCGCACGCAAGCCCTGGGGGACAGCCAGCCCTCCTACGGCAGGTTTGTGTCAACTGCTGCTGCAGTTTAAGGCACCCTGCTCCCCTCTATTTGGCAGCACGAAGGGGCTGACATCAGGCGAACTGGCCCAGTGCCGTGCTACCTCCCGGAACACGCACCTGCACAAGGCTTGGCAGGCAGGGCACAAGGTCTGCTCAGCACGGCCGGCAGCACGGCCACCCTGCCTGGAGCAAACACTCCGAATGGAAAAGGGAGCACAACCAGGGAGAGTCTGCCCCTCTACCCGTAGTCCCTGACAGGCCTACGAGGGTAGGACTGAAATCTGGTCAGCTCTACAAACACCAGGCAGAGACGCAGGTCTTCCGTAAGCAGAAAAACTTCCTTGGAAACAAACCAAATTTGGAGGTTTAGAGCACTCGCCTGGATGGTAGGAGACAGGTAGAAAGCCCCTTTCACAGGGAGGGGAAATAGAACATGGTTTCCACATCTGGGAGAAGTGTTCTACCACCTCCTGCCTGTGGGAGACACCTCTTGCCAGAACTGAGCTGAAGGCCATAAATCCTAAAACGGAGGGACTCAAGATGCTTCTCTCTCCTTGACACTTCCCTACTTTACACCCTAGTTTTGGTGTGTCCCACTTCTCCTTCCAGACGCTGCTCTACCTAGGCCTAAGTCAGGGACAGTATTAGGGTGCAGAGATGCCAAAGCCCTTTCTTCCTCTGCATGGAAAAGGAACCAACCTCCAATCACTAATGAGTCGATGCCAGGATCAGCCCTTACAGCACAACAGCTGCACCTCAAATCCAGTCTCCAGCCACAGCCAGACAGGTGAGAGCTCCCCACCTCCCCCTCCTAACAGTGCAGTGTTGCATAAGGAGAACTTCCCACCAAGCCCCGCAGCCCCAGCTTCACTCCCCAGAGGATGGGATCTCCCTGCTCAGCCATTCAGGGTGGCACCACACTGTCTCTGAGCTACAGCTCTCACTGGTACACCTTGGTTCCTTGTCTCAGAGCCTAGACGCCGGCTCAGGTCTCCCAGCTGAGCTGGACCTCAGCTCCTCCTCCGACTGGCCTATACCCAGGGAAAGTAGCGAGCATCAACAAGTAAAATTGACACTGGAGGCAAATGACCCTTGAAGGCATCTCTCTCCCCCACCCTCCATAACCTGAGCTCTTCATTTAACAGGTCCTAAGGACAAATCCATCACTTCTGTTCCTCCCCACGTGTTTGGGGGGGCCAGAAATCACCTGAGGAAGAGGAAGATGGATCTCCGGTAGTCCACCTGGCCCTTGTTGTCATAGCGAGCCATGAAGGGCTTGATGGCATCCAGAAGGCCGAAATGAAGTTTCTCTGCTTCATCAAAGATGAACAGGGACTGCTTGCAGAGCTGTATGGTCTCACTTATTTGCTTCTTCAGCTGAACCTGCAGAGCAGCAGGGAGGGGTGTGAAATGCCTGGCAGCAGTCACAGCCACCAGGGAACAGTAGGGGATGAGCTTAGACCATCCCCATGGCAACACCGTGCTGAGGGCTCTCACCTTGTACGAGTCCACATACTTGTGATGGGGGAAGTGGAAGAGCGAGATGAACATCCTGACACACTCACTCTTCAGCCCATCCCGATACAGGTGACTGGCCACCATCCGGGCCACAAAGTTCTTGCCTGTGCCGGACCAGCCGTGGAAGGACAGGACCAAAGCCTTCTCTGGCTGCGGGCTCTGCAGAAACCCTTGCACTGCCCGGACGACAACTTCTTTGGCCAAGTGCTGCCCATGGAGCTGCCCACTGAGGTCCAATTCTAGCCCTGCAGGAAAGGGAGAGAGCAATAGCTCAGCCTCAACTCCCAAAGTCCAGCTGCTGCTGCTGCTGCTTCAAGTGAGAATAAGAGGAGGAGACAGGGCATGGAGCTAAGCCCACACAGCCCTGCTGGTGGGGCTGGGGCTACCTGCCCAAAGGGTGCCTGAACTGGCTGCAGGGTTAGCAAGGCAGGCAACACACAACACACCACTCAGCAAGTCTGAGCACAGCACACGAAGGGAGAAGCCTGTGCTCTGCCTGCATTTGCCGCTGTCTGCAAAAAGACACAAATCTTCCACTGACTCCGTTTTTCCTTTGGAAACTGGAGGAAATATTTGATGATTGGTAGGAGAGCACTGAAACCTAAAGGCCCTCATGAGCTCTAAATACCACTCAGCAGAGGGCCTGGATACCAGAAGTCTCAGCGCCAGTAAAATGCAATGACATTTGCACACAGGCTTAAACACGCAGTTTAAGTGCACCTCAGTGCACCCTCCTGACCCGGGACTGGATACTGGGCCAAGCTGGATCCCACTGCGTGTACCCAGGGACTGCAGGAGGGACGAGGGCAGGACTCGGGGAGAACCAGAGCAGATATGCTGCACGGTAAGGGACATACTCTCTCACAGCCTCAGGACTACAGAGGTTCTGAGACAGGACTTGGCTCCACACCTCAGCACCCAGCTGAGAAAAGCCCTTCACTTATATCACTTGCTAAAATACACAGTTTTTTTTTTTTTTTTTAAAACAAAAGAGGAGACAACAGGGAGAAGCAGCAGAGAAGAGCACAGATTGGGGTCTCCCAAGGGGCAGCACAGCACCTACCTGTGATGTTGTTGACTATCCTGCAGTCTCCTGTCTCGCAGCACTTGCCGAAGCTGCAGTACCAGGCGGAGAGGATCTCTAGGTAATCTTGGCCCACCAGGGGCAAGCTCCAACCTGGGAAAGGACAGCAGTCAGAACAGAGAAGCGCCAGCTACCTTCTTGCACCTCAGAGGGAGAAGAGCCCCGCTCGCTTCCGAATTCCCCGCTTCCCGCAGACACGAGCAAACAGCTTGCCGGTGCCGCGTACGCCCACAGCAAAAGCAGTGAGCGAGGGGACAGGTAACCAACGGTCACTCGAGTGCACGTGCAGCCTGAAAGCAGCTGCTGAGATGCAACCCCTGCCCTATCCCTGCGTGAAAGCACAGACACCCGAAAAAAAAGCAGGAAAGTATGACCATGGGACAAACCTCCAGCGGGCTGAAAAATTCTGCGGGAATTTTTCCTTCAGCCAGAAATGGGTGCCCCCTTCCCTCCTGAAGGGATGCCTGCTGGGCACTACAAGCTCCTGGTGCAGGCAGGGGCATTTTGCATCGGAGCTCAGCTGTGCCTGGTTCAGTCACCCCCTCACAGAGGCCCCGGCAGGCCCCACGCCAGGCGGGCGCGTGGGCAGGGGGACTAATCCTGTACCTGGCGGCAGCTGAATCAGGCAGGCAGAGAGAGCAACGCACCCCGGCCGAGTAACCCTCGGAAAGGGAACTAGGCCGGTCTGCAGGAGCCGGAGGTGCAGACCCCCAGCTGGCCACGGGAAGGGGAAGCAGGGCGTTTTATGGGAGAGGGACGGAGAGGAAGCAGGCTCTTACCTGGATGGGGACCGGTCTCATCTTCCTCCTGCTCTTCTTCGCAGCCCTCCTGCCAGACCTTGCAAGCCAGCAACTGCCAGTATTGCTTGGAGAGAGCACCCACGGCTCCAAAGTGCTTCTTCAGGGCTTCATACCTCGCTCTGCCCCACGGTCCCCCCTCTGCCACTGCGCCCTGGTCCTCCTCCCAAGGACCCCAGTTTTTCCCTCTGCTCCCCAGCCCTTCAGAGCCCCCCAGCAGCAGCAGCAGCAGACAGCAAGCCAACCCCAGGCAGGACGGGAGCACGCTCTGGCCCATGGCTGCTGGTGGGGGACCCACAGCGGGGGTGCGAGCTGACCCTCCGCCCTGGCCGTGCTGGGTGGCCGCAGGCTCCCATCTTCCCTTAAACCGCAGGAGACGTGATCTCACTTCCTGCCCGCCTGCAATTGGAGCCGCCGTGGGGAAAGCCGCGGGGGGGGGTCACCAACACCGGTGGGCCTGGCCCTGCCGCCTCCTCCTCCCGGCCTCATTCCTCTCCGGTCCCGTCCCCGGAGCCTGACGCACTGAGATCCCGCGTGCCCCCGCCATTCCCGCCGCGCCGCGGCGCCTGGCTCGGACACGGCTTCCTCCTCCTGCCGCCGCGCAGCGGAAAGGACCCTGTTCCCGATGGGAGACACGGGTGACGCCGCAGATAGCTCTGCACGCGACTCGGATGCCCTCTCCCCCCAAATCCCGGCCTCTCCTCACTAGAGAGGAGACGAGCAGCTTCCCTTCCAGCAGCGTTGCAGAGACACCCAAGGACGCAACTGCCTCCTCCCGGGCACCGTGCGCAGTTCGCATGCCAGTCCCCGGCCCGCGCAGAGCGGCACCCCGCCGGGCACCTCTGGCTCTGCAGCCAGACAAGCTGCAATAGCTGCGCTGCCTAATGCCTGAGGAAGGCAAACGGCCCGACGTCTAAACAGCCCAGTGGCCCGACCGCAGTTTTGCTGCCAAGCAATTACACAGGTGGGGTTTAGTGGATTTGTTTGCAGGGTTAGGTTTTTGCCCAGCAATGTGCTTGGCTGCTGGTTTAGTACCGAAATTTCTGATTTCTCTTCTGGTGCGATTGAAACACATCCCTGGTTCAGCGGAAATCAGAATACTCAAATGTCACCAGGGACAGGAGGTGGGACTTTGGGGGATGTCTCTACCGGCCTTCCGTCTCGCTGTTCTCAGAAAGCAGCCGGTTACGCAGGCCTATAGACATTGGCAGTTGCTGCTCATAAGGGTTATTTCCAAGGGAACACAAAAATAACAGGCATAAACAAGGGAGCAGGAGACAGTCGATGAGTCAGAGACCGGCAGCACAAGGAGCTGGGATGTGCTATCCAGAGAGTATCTGTTAGTTGCTGTGGTATGAGCTCAGTAAAACAGTTTAGCGATTAGATCAAAGCTCTAGGAGAGGAGATCTTGCTGCTGGCTCTGGGATGGGCCTGCTGTGTCACTTCAGATAAGTCTCATTCCTAATCTACCCTAACAAGTCTTGCCGTTTACTTTTACATTAGTGCATCCTTATACACTGACACATCCAAAGATTGACACAGGTAGGGTGGGCCCCACTCCAGCAGCTCGGAAAAAAAATTCAGATCAGCGCAGAACCACAGTGAAACTGCACATGGCAACAGAGGTACAACTCATCACCGCCACAGCTAAGCACACCACCAGCAACCACATCCCAGCTTCTCCAACAAGCTGTAAACCCTCTCTGTACAGGGAGGCAGCGAGGGCAGTTGTTAGGGCTGGCTGCCTGTGCTTCTGCAGGAGATTCTAGGATCGTTCGCAAAGCACGGCTTTAATTTTGGAAACGGGTAGCAGGAGGGGCACAACTCAAGCCTCCAAAGCAAAACTGGTAAGTGCTGTCACGCTAAGCATACAACCCGAGCTGCGTAGGGGAGATGAAACATGGGTAAGCCCCATCTGACGTGCACTTTACCGTAAGCCATACCCACTGCTGGCTTACTACAAGATACTAACACCTATACAAGTCACTGAGCATCAGGACAAGTTCATCCACAACTTACCCTACTAACAAGGCCGAGATGCGTTGCTTTGGACGTAGGAAGAATTTCAAGGACACCCCAACTGCCCAGAAAAATAATAATGAAGTGGAGACCTCAATCTAGTCTGGCAATTCATTCGTTCAGGCGGATGGGGAGCTGACTTCTGGCATGAGCAGGGCATGGAATGGAACATAAGGCCACCTAGAGGCAGCTATAAGTATTACAGGTCTGTATTAAAAAAAAATTAGGTATTAACATAATTCCTCCTCTCTAGCTTAAAAAATAATCTATGAGGCCAAGACCTTAACACTAGCTGCAACAACTTAACTAAAACCAATGCACATAAAAAAATTAAAAATCATAATTACCGTAGTCATAGCAAATTAAACAAAATTGCTGTCAGCCTTTTTCAAAACTGAGACATCTGGCACGTTTCATGTATATAGATTTACAAAAAAATTCTTAGCTACTACATTCAGGGCCCTGTCTCCTGTGGAAAAGTGCTTTAGCTGAAAAGCGCTTAGCAAGAGGGACAGACTTCCCAAAAAACACCTGAGATGCTTCCATGTCCCAATGCAAAAAAGTTTGAAAAAGCAAATTCTGAAAGATATTATGACTGACCGTCCATCAAGACACCAGCTCCACAGTACTACAGCATAATTCCTCGGACATTAGCTTCACTTAAGCGCAGCACATCCTAAGAGCTAGACGGGAAAATGCAAGCAGCTGTTCAGTGATCTAGTGTACGCTGCTTGACCAGGCTCTGAGATTAACAAGATGCTGAAAGGAAGCACCTGACTTGGGAAGGTTGGGGTCTAGGAAACTCAGCAGCCAGCCAGCACTCTAGCACAGCCTTGTGGCACTACATCCCTTTCTTTGCTTCCCTTGGGCTGGATCTCCCTCACTATAATATTTGCTGATCTTTAGTTGACAGTCTCACAGGAAGAAGAGGTAGCTGCAGGGATCCGTACGGCCCCAGGGATAACAGCAGGATGCAAGCTTTTCACCTCGCAGCTGGTTATTCCAAAGCAGTCCTGGTGAGCAGCAACCATCTGATTAAAAAGCCATGATCTCAGGTCAAGTCAGGTCGTACAGTGCAGGCATCACCTAAAAATAAAGAAAAAACAGCACCACAAAAAGCGTGGTTATATCTGGCTTGTTCAGCACCCTAATACAACTCAGTACAGGCGAACACGCACGGCAATCCAGGTGCTTATCCCCCCCGGCTGTGCCAGCTGGTGTGCCTGACAAATAGCAGGGAAATGCCACCGATCCTTCTATGTTTTCTCTCAGTTTCCATACAGTAATTCCCTCTGCACACCCGCAGATAAACTCTGACAGAAGGCAGCAGGAGGAGAGTCTCTCCAGAGGCTCACTACAAGGCAGTCAGGGATAAGGTCAGTAAATTAAAGGAAAAACTGGAATACAGGACATTTGGGAGGCCCTCTTCTTCCTTATTTTTTTTCCAGAGCCCTATCCCCAGTCTCTTAAAAAAGAGAGAGAGAAAGACTGAAAAGAAGAAATAAGAGATCACCAGCCCCACATGAGCTAAGAACTTATTTTCATTTCTAATTTTGAGAGTCAATAAAAAATTGTAGTGAAAGAATCCAAAAGACATTTAGGGAAAACGCAATTTTCAACACCATTTGTTTTCCACTGGCTCAGAGTTGTTTCTATTCATTTTTCTGTAAAACTATGTTCATTATATAATCAAAAATACTTGAAAAATCTTCTAGTTACAAAAACTCCCACCCTGTTACTAAGGCCAAACATGCCAAAATTACATAGCAGTAATACGAAAAAGTGTTTGTAAAAACAGCTTTCAAACCCAGCTATTTCCACCTTTCCGAACTTAAAAACCTTGGCACTTGCAGTTTCTACAAGGTGCTGAGCTGCTCATACGCAAGCAGGGATCCTGTCCCCTCTACTGAGCCAACTGACACATCAGAAACAGAGAGGGAGGACATGTAAGATCAGTCACCGCACAATCTAATGTGCAACCTCCCCTCAAACCATAAACAAGTTGTTAAAAAAATTTGCAATGCTCAAGCCCAAGGTTTCAACAGGGAAACTAGTTTAAAACATGCGGGTGCCTTTGGCCATTTACCAACACCAACCAAGCTCGCAATCGCTGCGTTTGCTTCCAGACACCTGACATTCAAAACCCAGCATCACCCTCCTACAAAGACTCGCTGCAGTGGGTTATTGAGAAAACACGCTCTGGCACAGCCAGATTAACACCCCATCCTCTGCGGGAACAGATCTTTGAAGTCTGCTTACTTATCCCCCCCCTCAAAAAAGGGCTTTGATAAAGCCTTAAAAAGCCAACCACAGACACTTGTCAATGGTGTGTATATCCCTTGCCCTTGCTAATGCAATATACATCCCTCGCTCCGTATGAGAAAGCCAACTTATTGCAGCACCACTAAGAACCTTTGCAGCTGAAGGGCCCTGGGATGCATTTTCTGGAGCAAAAATACTGCTCTCTGGAGACCATTTAAACCTAGGTGCGTTCTTCTTTTGGATCACTTTGGGACACTCTCCTTAAACGCATCTTTCCTTACCAACACAGCTCTGCAACCAACCTCCACAGCTGACCCGATTCTTGAAAATACATTATTGGAAAAAACACCATTGACACTGTTAGCGAAGGAATAACCAAACACCAGTAGCAAAACACCTCAAACATTCAGCTCACCACACGTTGGAATGAGTGAGTGAGAGAGAGAGAGAGAAACTTAAACAATTCATCAACGTTGCTTTATTAAAATCTTTATTCACACAATGTTGCTTTATGCGGAATCTGACCCTGGGGGATACAAGTGGAAAGTCATGATTGCATTCTGTTTTCTTATTAGTAACCTCCATCTGTGCAGCTGCTCCCAAGGGCAATCCTCTGACAGCTCCGAGAGGGGGGTCTGTTTCAAGCATTTTGCTCCAGCTGACACAGCAAATAAGTTACCTTCTTAATAAAATATTATTTTTCAACTGAAGTTTGTTTGGCAAGACACACTCCAGTTCATTAGTTGCTGGAAGAGAAGCAGATTTCAGGGTTTCCTCCAGCCTAACTGCTGATTTAAGAAGCAGGAGATAAACAGCTGACAGCTGATGATGTTCTCTTTTTAATTAGTTCTTGATTTCTGTGCTTCAAGCACTCCGATATTACTAATACCCATGACAACCATTTTCTAACATCTGAAGCCAGCCAATCAGTGCGCACAGCTTCTTCCAGAACAAAAATAAGAAGGCGTCACGAAAACCTCATGGACAGAGCATAGCACCTGCCTCACAAATAAACAATGCTTTTTTTATTGTTTTTCAAGAGATTCAAGTAGACCCTGTTCACATGTGGATGCTGCTCTGTATTTCCTTTGCAATGGTCTTAGTTGATTTTAAAATTTCTCAGGGTTCTGTACACAAGCAAAAGAACGATCGCTGCCAAAATGCCAGAGATGATCACAAGGCCAAAATCTGATCTTCCTGATTGCGGGTAAGAGAGGAATTGATTCTTTCCTGCTGCAGAACACCAAGCTCCAGCATGTGTACAGTAAAGTCACCAGGTCAAAAAAAAGGAAAAAAAAGCAACTTTTTCCTGCTTCCTCCTCCTGAAGGCGCCTGTCCTCCACACCCTCTGTTCACAACTAAACCAACGCAGTGCTTTAACTCTTTGACATTCACACTGTGGGAAAACTTACCCCCAAATCCCAGCCGACTCCAAGAGCTGCAGCTTAGAGCCCAGTGAGCAAACAAAGCAGGGGCTCTGAACACTAACTTCACTGCATAAGGAGAGCAAGATTTTTTTGGACCTCATCATCAAATCAAGTGCAAGTGATCAGCGAGTGATCAAAGAGAAATCAAAATTTCAAATCCTGGTAGATCCTTTCCCAAATATTACACATGAATAGCGATGCTCAAAAGGAACGCGCTTTTAAAATGCTACAAATACTATCACGTGCTTCACGCACTCCCCCCCTCTGCGTAAATGATCTTCAGTTTCTTGGAAAACACTTTATGCCAAAATGCCTCTGTATGAAACTATTTTGCTTTAAAATAAAACCTTTCACTAACCATCTAACTGTTACCCACGGCACCTCCCAATGTCGTCTCACTCGACCCCTGAATTCTAACTGCAAGCCAAAGGACATCCTAGCTCAGCCAGCAAGGGACAAGGGTAATCCCTCAGTTGTTCTTGCCCATGCTTACAATTAGCTAAGTGCACTCAAAACAGTTGTGCTCTAAGGGAACCCAAGGCACAACCACTATAGCAGGTTAAATATGCCAAGGACCATGGCTTCTAAACCAGGCGTTATATTACCAGGTACGGCAATAAACAGGCACTAGTTTAACACCAGTGCCCAAACAGCTGTCTGCACGCTTCAGTTGACTAGCAACACCCGTAAATACTCCAGACCCAATCCTGACTGTGTGGCAAGTCTGTGATGTGGCTGTGTCCAGAAGAGATCTAGAAGAACATAAAATTAATTTTCAGGTGAACAGTTGCATTCTGCTTTCAAGATACTCTGCTTGGACAATGACAAAAAGACTTAAACAAAACAAAATTGCATTTGCTAAATAACCTCTTTCACTCACACCTCTGATCAGGTACGGCAGCAGGTGCGTGCACTAGGAAACAGAGCTCTTTATTTGATCTGCCAGCCACAATGCTGCAGAGCCAGAACGATTTGGACAGACAAATCGGGGAAAAGCTCTTAAACAGACATTTTGCTGCTCCTGCTCTCAAGTCCAACTAACACATCGAGGAAGCTTCAGGAAGTGATCTCTTTCCTCACTCCTAAGGACCACACTGGCTGAACTGAAGAAAATCAATGCAAAGCTGTTACATTTGGAAACAAAACGACAAAGCTTCTTCCCTTCTGGAGACAACAGATTTAAATCTTTCACAAGTGTGACAAGTTTTATGACCACAAGCTCATCTACAGTGCAGACCAAAGCACTGCTGAGGGATGAGAGGACACAAAATGAGTTCGTGGGTAGCACAAAATGAGTGCTACAAGTCCACACCGAAAAGCAAATCTGCACAGACCCTCCCCATCTTACGGCAAAATCATTAGAAGCGAAGGCTCCAGGATGATCACCCCAGTCAGAACATCACAGCGACGGTTACAGGAAGCAGCTGGGGGAGGAAGAAAATCTATGGGAGATGCTCACAGTTTCCGAGCTCAGCCACAAGCCAGGCCAGGTAGAAGAGGGGACTGGAAAACTGTCGGCGTTGCAAGAAACAGCAGCATTGAGCTGTGATAACGACCAGAAGCAGCAAGGAGCTCTCTCCATACAAGACGATGAGGAAAGAGCGCACGGCTCAAGGTTCTCTCCACGCTTCAGGGCCCTGTCCACAGCTGCTGATCGCTAGAGAAGTTCAGCAATACAACTCTTTTGCCAGTGCTACAAATTCAAATCCCCCCTGCCCCCTATTAAATAGGGTCCACAGTAAGCAGCACAAGCTGACTAAATGGAACCTGCTTCCAAGGACAGATTCTGTCCTGCTTCTCAGCTAGAATATAACAAAAATTTGGTTAATATGGACACAGGACTGCAAGGATATTTCCTCTAGTCAGACCTTGCCAGATTCCTTATCAGTGGAGAACAGTGATAGGACACAAGGAAATCTCTTCTGGAAACTTATGTTAACCCCTTAATCATCAAGTGCTTTGTAACCACCCTGTCCTCCCCTCAGTCTCCAACCCTGCGGATAAATCTTTGATAGGACTTCAGTGATAATACTGAAGCACTACCACATACAAGGCAAACCCCTCTCCCAGATTTTTAAGGAGAGGACAACTGAGTAGCAGAAGTCCCCTCTCCCACACCTAATGGCATTCACAAGAACATCCCACCCCTGGAGGGGGTGCAATTGTTCAGTGTACTAATTATTTTATTCACCACTTTCTCTTTCTTTAGAGAAGCAGTAAAACGCCTAACCAGCTCACAGCTGATTATATACAACCCTGAATCAGATGAAAACTCCTAAGAGTGTTTGTGGGGAAGAGAAGGGGAAAAGATTGTACTGTTCATCTCCGTTTGTCCCCTCTAGAATCAGTCCACAAATTAGTGTCTGTATTCCACACACACTTCCACCAACACCAAGAGCCATTTTTTATCCAGTGCAACGTCCACTGCCGGCAATGGACACACCACAACGGCCATGATGCCATTATGGGTACTGAGCCGTCCGAGGCTCAAACTTCCCACCTCCTCTCATGGCTGTCAGCCCAAGGTAAAAGCCAGTATCATCACCTTTGTTTCCCTGGCTCGGAAGCTTTCCTGTTCATTTCAGTCCATCCTGGCCACAGCCTTTCAGAACCGATTGTGCTGTTTTTCTATCATTTGTGTTTTTTGTTTTTTAAAAAGGAGTTTCATCTGCGTTCCACTACTATTACAAATGAGACAGTGTCATCCTGTCTTCCACCAGCACAACATCTGGCCCAAACTGGTCTGTGCACTGCTTCACCGTAGCCAGAATGCTGAGGAGCCGCTGATCTAGGGCGTCCAGATGAGGGTCGGAAAGCACTGGTGAGATGGGGTCATGCGACATAGCAGCTTTTAAGGCAGACTTCAGCACTCCGTTCTTCAGGTAATTGAGCCTGTTCCAGGTAGAAACCCGGATGCTGCAAAACAAAAACACACACGTTATCACACCACTGTCCACCTAAAGTCCCATAAGCAATACCAAAAGTCAGCCTCTTGAGGGAGCCTGTTACGTCATGGCTTCATCTAAATAAAACTAGTAAGTCTTACCACAGCTGGTTTGGGGATGGAAAGGTCCAGGTATAACTGCCAGCATATGCAATACCTAAATGAAACTTAACTACTGAAAGTGAAGAAGTAGGAATCTAACGTGTCACAACTCTTACGAGAGTTGTTACACAGAAGCACTTTCAACTGCGAGCAAGGAAGTTCTTCAGTCCTGAGGCCTCCTGGACAAAGTTCGAAAAGAGAAGAAAGTAAAACGGTCCGGCTGTTAATTCAAAAGAAAACTCACGTTACTTCAAGGAAGAGCATCACTGACCAAGAGCTAACGACAAAGGACAAAAGTCGCATGACAGAACTTCCACAGAAAGCGGAAGCAGATGTGTCAGTGATCTTTCTACTCCACTTGCCACTGAACGTTTCATGTTATCCCATATAAACTGTTTGGCCTGTGAAGTCTCTTGGGATTCTCCCCTAAATTGCTGTGTTTTAGCACCACTGCTTTAAACTCTGCTCTTGGCCTTTGATGGCGTGTGCCTAACAAATCTATAGTAAAAGAATTATGATAGATTTTAGCACGTGACTTCTTTTATAACATTTGCCTGGTATTAGAAAAAAGGATATCTGAAAAGCAGGGAACTGCAGAGTCTCTCATACTGATAAACTACTCTTCTGGGACTGTGTTTAGGAGATTCTGAGAAAGGAGATAGACATGTCAAAAGATCCTCATAAAACAGAAAATAAAAAATGCACTTAAAATTAATGTAGGAAGACTAAGGAATTTGAAAATCACTTAGCTAAACTGCTCTCCATACGCCTGCTGCAATTGTGTTACACAAACCAAGAGAATCGGAACAGAATGTAGGTCAGACATACTGCAGGACTCTCAGAGCCTTGCTCAGAGCGAGTCAATTCAGGGGACAGAACCCCTCCAGGGGGTAAATGCCTATTTGGGAAGGTCTGAAGGAGTTGATGTTATCTTGAAGTAACAGATGCAGGAAACTAGTATTCGTCTTCCTGTATCTATCTACTTGTTAACGAGAAGTAGCAACGGCCTGGCGAGAGAGGGGCCACAGAACCCAGAAATCAGCAGGTCACAACCACTAAAAATAAAGGGAACAAGCATACAGCTCATAGGTCCCAAATGAAAATAAAATCCTGCAAAGAACTACATACAACCTGTGCTTTGAAAGCAGCACCATAAGCAGTGCTGCAGCCTTGTTCAGAAAGCACATTTGGAAATGAAGGTAGTTAAGTTGCCAGACACGTCCAGTCCTTAGCTTCTGCTTCTGTCAGCGAGGACTCAAACTGCGACGTGAACTTTTATTCAGATGGAAAGCACCTGTCATACTGACTAAGGATAGATTTGAACCAGTGACCTAGAGGCGAGACTACTTCCTACAGTCTATCGTCTGATTTACTACCTTAATAAAAACGTATTTCTCTGCTTCCTGAGCACTGACAGTACCTCAGAAAAAGATACCGTATACCTGTGAACCTTTTCAGATTGCCAGAAGGCTTAACGGCTACTAATTTAATTATACTCCAAATCTAAAGACAGCAATTGCACAAGTGATGTGAAAAGCATCCCCATACTCTACTTACATACAGCACTGATAAAGAGGAGCCAGGATGCTTCTTTCATCCAGGGCAGGATTTCCAAAGCTGAAGAGCAAAATTAAAAACAAATGAACTAGCTGAACACTTAATGTCCTTCCTTACAACATCAACAAATTTGTAAAGAATTCAAAATTCAATACTAGGCAATTTCATGCTCCAACAGCTCAAATAATTTAAACTAAAATATAAATAGGCCGTGACCAATTACAGATGTAACTGTCAACAGCATCAGCTAACGTACCAGATAGACAGAAGCAACATCAGCGTACCTAGGTCTTTATCAGGCCAAGGCACTCTAGAAACAAACTTCAGAGGAGTTTAGAAATTGAGCTCATCTTGCTACGCAAGGGAAGGGAACAATGTACGTTCCGGACATAAAGAGGGGGAGCACTGACCATTTGACACAGCTAGACAGGGAATGAACGAAATAGTAACCATGCGCTGTTTTAGACGGCCAAGCTTAGACCAATTGTTCGACATTCAGGTGACCACCTCTCAATTCAGGTGATCACCTCTCAACAAGCTGATTACATTTCACGACAACACTTTCAAAGGGGCACCTTCCAACAGGATTTCATAGTATTTTTAAGCTTCACTTCAACACATGCCAAAATATTTTTCACCATTCCCTCCCCCCCAATAACATTGTTGCAACAAAGAACTTTCTCCTCATAAGGATAATTTACACTACAAGTTAGGCATTGTTCTGCTCAAATAATTCTGTTGTTAGTAGCTTTAAAAAGCTGTTCTGCCCCCAACACACAGTCCTTATCTCAAAGAAGCTTGAAGAACTTTACTCAAGCTGTCAGAAAAACAATTTACTTCTGGGCCTGCAAAGCCCCAGAGGAAACGGTTTCATAACGTTATGAGCACGTATTGTAACGAAAGGTCTGACATGACCTTCAACTATGACATTTACTCCCAGGGACAGATAAAATAGCTTCCTCCTAGCCTATTGGCAGAGCATTAGCAAATTCACCTAAAGCAATCTGAAAGCAGCAATAATTAAGCACTTCCAAAGTGGAACACATCCTGCCGGCATAACTGAAGGAGCATTACTGAAAAGGCTGATGCATGAAGACAAAATACTCAACTCAGCCACTTCTACTTCAGCCAAACGAGAACAATGGATGGAAGACAGACAGGGATAGAGTGTACTATAGGAAAAGCAAAGGGGGAAATGAAGATCAGCGGGAAAGAACTGGTAACTGTAAGCCTTTCAAGGATCTGTCGAGATCAGAGGTCTCACCTGCAGTGTATACATCCTGCGAGGGGAATGCAAAGCCACTGCAGAGCAGAGCCTGGCACAGGAACTGCTAGCGCTAACAATCATAAACTGTTCCGTTCACAACGGTAAAACTTGCTGCCACTGCTGATGGTGATGCCCACCAGAAAAACGTTTGGGAGTCTCTGGACTAAACCATGAGAACGTGGGATAGATTGTTTTTGTTTTTAAGAAAAATTAAACAAATTGTTACGATTTAAACAAGGCTGTAGGCCCAGGAAGACTTTTTAACTTCAACCATGCCAGCCAATATGCTAGAACTGCAGCAAAGTCAGAGCAACTCAAGTTTTACAAACACACACTGACTAGTAAAGATTGGCCTCAAGAAGGACTTCTCATGAGCTCCTCACAGTTACAACATGCTTCATTTTTGTTTTGGAAATAGTTAGTATTGTATAACAACAATGAAACATATCCATAATATGGTTTACAAAGTCTCCTAAATATTTTTAAAGGTGTGGCGCTACATAAAACGGTACTTCTAATCACATTATCACACTTCTAAGTATGTCTTTTTTCTCCTCAGTCCCAGAATTTGTTGGCCAGTGGATCACAGCACTAAGTACCTAACACACTCTGGGCATCACATCTTGCTCTTGATATCAAATCTATCTCCATTTTAAGTTCTTAGACTTATCGCTGCAGTTGACAGACACACAAGGCAGAGAACACCAGATTATTCAGAGACACATTTTGGAAAGATCTACTTATACTATGGCACTCACTAATACTTGCTAGTAGGTAATAACTCCTGAGTTTATAATCCTCTATCGGCTGAAAACGTACTAGGGAGGAATTTGGGGGGAGGGAGGGGAGAAGACACAAACATACCTTTGAAAGTTTCTCTTGAAGTTCATGTTATACTGTGCTAAGTTGGAAGTTTCTGTAGTTTGATTAAGACTTTGCCCAGTGGAGTCATAACTGCATATCTGGAGCACAGAGTAAGTGCCACCGCCTTTGAAAGCCCCTAATATTTGGGGAGTAATTTCCAATAAGAAGAAAAGCTTTGGGTTTTTTTTTAGCACAAAAGGCATTAATGAAAAAATTACTGAGGGGGAAAAAACCCCAAAAACAGAGAAACACATAACAGATAAACGTGTGCCTTCATGCTTGCCACTGCCTAGCCACCAGGATTCCCCTGATGCTCACCTTTTGGCATTATCCAGGAGGATGAGCATACTGGCTCCTTCATCATCCTGGAAGCTCTCATAGTGATGCCGGTCAGCATTCCCGATCAAATAGTCAAAGATGGCAGTGTCAATGATATCAAGGAGACGAGGGCCCGAATCATAGGGCGAAGTCTTCTTCACAGCATCACAATAGCTTTCGTCATATTCCCACCTGTGGGCCGACAAGAGAAATCAAATCAAGTCTTCAAGAAAAGCTCCATCATTGCACACCATTTGACTTGTGAGGTATCTAGAGCTGCCCCTTCATTCGTATCAGTGCTTAAACAAAAGGCCAGTACAACAGCCAAGTCTATTCAAAGAAGAGTTGGACAAATATATCTTATTAACGGAGTAACTCCTGTATTAACACCCAAGTATATGAAGCAAACTATAGTTTTAGTACAAGGTTACACATCATTTGCCTATAGAAAACAAGGTCAGAGTTTGCTTCCTTACTGCTCACGCTCAGCAGTGGTTGGCCTGCCTCCCTGCAAGATTTTCACTTTGACTTGCCTTCCTTAATTTCCTAACTAAGGTCTTCAAGTACAGTGTCTATTTCTATTGCCTTGACCTGTTTCCATCGGTCTCTTACCAGCGATCCTCTACTCATTTTTCCTTCTAATGCAAATAACCTCATCATGGTTACTAGTGACCTCCACTGGCCTAAGGGGAAGGACCTGGACTTCAGCAAGGCTTTTGACACTGTCTCCCATCACATCCTCCTAGGTAACCTCAGGAAGCATAGGTTGGATGAGTGGACAGTGAGGTGGATCGAGAACTGGCTGGATGGCCGAGCTCAGAGGGTTGTGGTCAGTGGTGCAAAGTCTAGTTGGAGGCTTGTTGCTAGCGGTGTCCCCCAGGGGTCAGTACTGGGTCCAGTCTTGTTCAACGTTTTTATCAGTGACGTGGATGAGGGGACAGAGCGCACCCTCAGCAAGTTTGCTGATGATACTCAACTGGGAGGAGTGGCTGACGCACCAGAAGGCTGTGCTGCCGTTCAGAGGGACCTGGACAGGCTGGAGAGCTGGGCGGAGAGGAACCTCCTGAAGTTCCACAAAGGCAAGTGCAGGGTCCTGCACCTGGGGAGGAATAACCCCAGGCACCAGGACAGGCTGGGGGCTGACCTGCTGGAAAGCAGCTCTGCTGAGAAGGACCTGGGAGTCCTGGCGGACAACAAGTTGACCATGAATGAGCCAGCAATGTGCCCTTGTGGCCAAGAAGGCCAATGGGATCCTGGGGTGCATGAGGCAGAGTGTTGCCAGCAGGTAGGTGGAGGGAGGTGATCCTGCCCCTCTCCTCTGCCCTGGGCAGGCCTCACCTGGAGTACTGTCTCCAGTTCTGGGCTCCCCAGTCCAAGAGAGACAATGGAGCTCCTGGAGAGAGTCCAGCGGAGGGCTACCAAGATGATGAGGGGACTGGAGCATCTCTCCTATGAAGGAAGGCTGCGAGAGCTGGGCCTGTTCAGCCTGGAGAAGAGAAGACTGAGAGGTGACCTGATCCATGTGTACAAGTATCTGAAGGGAGGGGGGTGCGTTGCGAGGTCGGGGCCAGACTCTTCCCCGTGGTGCCCAGCGACAGGACAAGAGGCAACGGGCATAAACTGAACCACAGGAAGTCCCGTGCGAACATGAGGACAAACTTCTCGACTGTGAGGGTGACTGAGCCCTGGACCAGGTCGCCCAGAGAGGTGGTGGAGTCTCCTTCGCTGGAGATATTCAAAACCCGCCTGGATGCAATCCTGTGCGATGTGCTCTAGAGGACCCTGCTTGAGCAGGGGGGTTGGACTAGATGATCTCCAGAGGTCCCTTCCAACCTCGGCCATTCTGTGATTCTGTGGTCTCATATGTGTTCACTCTCCTTCACTCACAGATGCTACTTTCCTCCCTACTTGTTTTTCAGAGTCTCTCACCTGCTTCTCTACCAGCAAGACTTCAAGTTTCTCTTTTCTCTCCTATCCTTATACACATAGCCTAGGCACGTGCTTGCAGTCTTACAACGTGGATGTCACGTCTCAATTCTCCGCAGCTAGGATTTCAAGTTTCCTCATTTCCTTCTTTACAGTTTTCAAAGCTGTTCACCACCACTATCAAAACAGCCAAATCTCCTTTCCATATGTCATCCACAATAACATGTATCACATCTTCCGTGCAAGGACTGAAACAGTCCTTTGCAAAACAGCCGTTAAGTTGGAAATGCTTTAAACCATCTGTGAATTGGAAACAGAAATGGAGGAAACAAAAGCTGGAGAGACTCACTGACATATTCAAAATTGCACAGTAAGTCACAGAAGGAGGGAGAAGATCAAATTTAACTGTTACAAGCTGTCTCATGCCCCACCCTATCTTCTACAGGTGCAGACTCTGAGCTCCCAATATCTCATTTTTCCTCCAGTTATCCAAAATACAGCGACCAAGAGCTTATCTTCTCAATGCTTTTGATAACACACCACAAACGCTACTCAATCCTGACTCACTCTAGTTCCCTCTTTATTTTGCAATGTCAGACTCGCATTCGACTTTCAGCACAAACCCACAAGGCAAAAGTCTCAGTATATACTCTTCTTTGCACTCAATACATTTCCTTTATGCTACATTTCTCTCTTCCTCAAGTGTTTCTCTTTCTCTCATTTCCTTTAGATCATTACTTAATCTCCTTGCAAGAGCTTTTCTGATGTACTGTGTTCTCTTCTCTTCCTCTCATTTTTCATCCAGTCTTTCCAGAGAAACCTTTCTCCGACATTTACTTCAGATCATTTACATCATATTAGTGTAGAACTTCAAAGGTTAGAGATTGTATGCGTTCATTAAGATTATGTACACTAATGGCACTATATGAATTATTTTCAAAAGGCCAACTCAGGGCAAAGCAGAAGCAGCTAAAGGGGGAAGAAAATTCCTACAGTTATTTTTCCATAATTATCAGATGCAGAAAAAGGAGAATATAACACAGAGAACGTTTCACCTGATGCTCTCAAAGTGAGAAGCACAACGTGATAAGGTGCATAACAAAGCAGCAGAGCCTCGCAATTGCATCCGAGTAAGACAAGAGCAAATAAGTTTAAAATGCAGTGAATATTAAATCAGCATAGGTATCTTCTTACCTCGGTAAAATCCTGTGTAAGTAGGTGCTCTATGATAAAAACGGTCTCTCAAAAAAGGAAACATCTCCAATAAATTCAATTGATCCTTTACCGACTGCAACTTAACAAGTACTAAATACAGCTGATTTTGACCTCTTAAAAAAGAGGTAACTTCTGCTGCTCAGAAAGCAAACTGCGCATTTAATATTCTAAAACACTTCAATGAAGTCATTGGATCAGATTCTTTCTGAGAACAATCACATCATTGGAAATCAATGGAAGCTTTAGTTTAAGGACTAAAAATCTCTTTTTTAATCACATGCCTGGCACCAGGACTTACAAAAATTTACTAAGCTCAGTAACATCTACTCTGGTCACGGCAAGAAGGTGTCCATCCCAAGCACTCTGATATACTACATCTTAGTACACGATTGCTAGATCCCATTCTTGTCCTTCTCTAAAAGCATTCTTTACATGCTGAGCACAGTCTCCAAATCCTGGTGGTATTTAAATCAATGAAGAACTTTTCGATTCTTACCTATTTAGGCTAGACACACTTTGCAGAAAACATACATATAAAAAAGGTCATAAAGAAGTAGACAGTTCTTTACTCCTTAACCATACTAAATACTGCTGTGAAAACTTTTGACACAAGTGAAGAACACTTAAAAGCAAAAAGAACCACCGCCTTCCCAGTTCCCTGTACCGCCCTTGCCCGCCTCCCCAAATCTCCTACAACTCCTGAAAAAAAAACTTTAAAGATCATGAAATTAGATCTGTCAGAAAATAGCACAGTGCCGTGGTATGTTACTGGGCCAAAGAGAGGCACAGTGTCAAAAAAAGGTTTAGCAGCACAAGAGAAGAACCTTGATTTGCCCAGGGCCAAGATGCTCAAAGCCTGGAGTGACTGTGTGGTGGAGCTACATTCCAGGAAAAAAGTTGAAAAAGAACAGCACCCAGTACCCTGAGAAACCATGAAAATTCTTGCTTGCTTAATTTAATCTAAATCTCATCCTAGACATCTTGACTTCTAACATCATACCAAGTTAGCTGTTGGCAAAACTCCTGATTTTGAGAACACTTGCTCCGTAATTAGCCACTGTATTTCAAGGGTACTTCTAGTCCAAATTATCACGTATAAGGATGAACCCTATCAAGTTCTCATACCTGGCAAGTTTCCCTTCACGGTAAGTCCTACCCCACGGATGCCGATGCTTCTGGAGAGGCCAGACATCTGGTAGCCACAGAGTCACTGACCCTTCCATGATATCCCCATCTGCACAAGCTGGTTCTGTTTCCCGACAGTAGTAGCACTTCCCATAGAAGCAAGTGCTATTACCTTTTAAAAAACAAACAAACAAAAAAAAACCAGACATCACAAGAGCAGAATTTCATCTGAGGAACACCAATTGAAATTCAGGAGCATGTTGTTGCATGCTCGTGTTTCCTCCCCTCTAAAAGGGAGGGGCTCAAAAGAGATGAAACAGACATTTATTCATTCAAAATATCATGAAAGATGAATTTTCAAAGGAACCAGTAATTATATTGTCTAATGTTTTTAATCATACTGTGAGTTAAGGCAACACTACACTATGAACAAGTTTTTGTGATCCCTTCCTAATTCCTCAGGAGCTTGACTTTGCAACCTTAGCACTGCTTGTTTAACACACTCCATGTACCACATTTCCCAACTTTTTGAAAAAGTCAATTGAAAAAAAGTCAAGCCAATAAAGTCAAAGCACAACTCAAATGGAGTTGAAGCCCTAAGACCTGCCACACATCCCTGCTACTAGACGCAGTGAGGGAAATACAAACGAGCTGTCATTCCTATGTGACCGAGGAACATGGACCTGTCAAAAGTTTCATGAGTGTCTTCCAACAGGAGAGGAATAATGAAACCCAGCAGTCTTCAGTCCATTAAAGGCTACGGAAGAGGATGCTCTAGGCAGCCTAAATTAACTTATTTAGCTTAACCTTTTCTGTTTCATCCTTTTCACCTGCCTTATTTTGTCCCTTGCCAAGTCAATCCCAGCTCCACATGCACGGACATTCTTCCAAAAAGTTCTTCAACTAAGTCTCGCTTCCTTGTGCGTCCCCTTATTCCCTGTCCTTTCTTCTTTTGGCTCCACATCCAGCATCCTCCCCAACAAAGACCCAGCTCGCTCACAGCTCTGTTTTTCACTCTATAGCCTTACTCCATGTGCACAAATTCCACATCACCATTCTTTAGTCAACCAACACTCCTTTGCAGTCCTCCATCCAGACCTGGCTCTGATGCTCCTCATATCTGAATCAGGCAACTTCAGGACATCAGATGGATGACTATTTCAACAGAGAGCTTGTAGTGGACCAGACCTCTATTTGCATGGAAAGCCCTGCAAATCTCTCTTTCTACCCATAGACTGCAGCTGGTCTAGCAAGGGATAGAATTTTTTGAGATTCCAGCTGTAGCTCTAGAAAACCTCTACTGAATATGTTTGAACCATCATTTCTTCAAAACCTCAGAAATTTGGTTAAATTTGGGTTGACAAGGTGATCCACTCCTGACACAAACGTTTCCCTAATTCTGACAATGTCTTTAGTTCACGCTCTGCAAAACAGGAGATTCCAAGGAGTCTAAGGAAAGGCAATAAACATTTTTTTTTGAGCCATACTTCTCAAGTCAGCATTTTTGCTAGAAAACTGCCTAGTTGTTTTGGCTGAAATTAGAAAAAGTAAAGTCTGCCTGAGGCAGACACTCAATCTGAACGCAAAAAGAGGTTGGCAAGGTAAAGCCACTCTTATCTGAAAGCTAAACCAATAACTAAAAGTGTTAAGCAAACTTAGTAGGTGAGACTACCAGCAGTGCTTACAATACAAATACACACATACATATATATCGGGCTGTAATGAATAGCTGTCTCTAGACTGCCTGTCCCCTCCCCCCCCCCCCCCCCCCAAAAAAAAAAAAAAAGTAGTAAGTTGATCTTTTATGAAAAGCCCAAAGCAGTTAAGGCAGTAGTGTAAGTCCCTTCTTGGAACTTAATGACGACATTGTAGGTGTCTACATTAATAACTCTAATTAAGTGCTTCTCACAGCATTATTTCTGTAAACAACATAGGAAAGTTCTGATGCATCTAGTTATGAATGCTCAGCAGACTCTGACGTGGCACAGACAACATCTAACACCAACCAATGCACCAGCCCTACAAATCATCCCAAGTAACAATTGCGTTTGCATTACAGTTAAGTATAATTCCATTTTTTCTTTCAGGTCTAGTCAAACACTTCAGAGACTTTCTAATAGCAGAAAGAAAATACTCAAAAAAAATCTCTAACAGCAGCACGAGGGAACAGAAAGAAGTTACTGACAAAATAAATTACTTTTTGGAGAAAACTAAGTCCTCCTCCCCCACCAAACGGGGCTATACAAGTGTTAAAATTTCTCTTAGGACTGAAAGAGGCTTATCACCTTCTGGTATCATATTTAACTGTTCCAGAACTGTGTCAGATTCCACGGCTCCTTTTCCCATTTAACATGATTTTCTTTATCAGGCTGCACGATGCACAGAATCCACTTACCCACGGTCAGGAAGGTACCCAGAAGCTGCTCTGTGGCAACTGGTTTGATCTCTGTACGTAGATTCACAAACCTGCCAACTACCAGTGGAGCTCGTCGGAAACCCAGGATTCTGATTTTGGGTAAAAAAAAAAAAAAAACATGAGGAGGGATAAGAATTTGTGACATAGGCAACAGTTCTAGATTTTAAAAAACACTACAAGGTCTCTGTGCCATTGTGTGAAATCAAGAGGATTTGAGACCAAAGAATAAAGCTGGAACCCCATGGCAGCCTCCTCTCTTCTCCATGGCAAAGTAAGAACCCTCCTTTTTCCTAAGCGCCAAAACATAAAACTTGCTTTATAGGCCATCAAGGACGCTCCTTTATTAGAGCATTTGCAGCAGAGCAACACAGGACGCATCATGCGCCAACCCTCAGAAATCAGATCTCATACCAGAAAAAAATCCATCGTCTCTCTTGTGTGCAAGTGCAAGCACTAACCATGTGGTCTTTGGGCTGTTCACCTTGAAAGACCATTTATAATTTGTAGAAATTAGGATTTGGTAAAACCTTACATTTAAGCTCCAATTCAATTACACTTGAAAGTAAGCAATCTGGGAGTTATTTTGTTTGGCTTGAGGAGGAGGAGGGAAGGGAGAGTGGTAGAACAAATCTGATTGCCTGAGACATGTCTGGAAAAAAAGAGGTGGAAAGGATAACCAAAAAACCAGCAGTAAGAAGATCCAGGTTCCACTCTCCTGTCTGCCACAGCCTTTGCTCTGTGACCACAAACGATTTGGATATTTGTAACAGGATGTTAAAAGTGCTTAAAGGATGACTACAAACATAAGTGCAATGTCAGACCTAAAAACTCTCTTAATGTACTTTCGATAGTCTTCACATCTCAGATTCCTCCTTCCCATTTTCTGAAAAGGGGACAATCTCCATTCCACGGAGATACAGGGAAAGTTGCTCTTCAACAGCTGCAAACTATTTTTTAAATATTCAAGCAGTAAGTCCCTTTCTGCCCCTAAAGTACAAAACAGCTCTAAAAAAGGGCAACACAAAACGTCTGCCTGAACAAATCATGTATGCATAAAGACAAAAATCATAGCCAGTAAGACAGTTATGCACAGTTTGAGAAAATGCAGGAGCTAGAGGTAAACAAGCACACAACTTAGATCTGGAAAACCCGTCTCTGTAAGTTCAAATCCACAAGCGAAAGTCCAGTATTATCCTGGATGATCAGCCTCCCCGTTAGTGGTAAGCATACAACAGCATTCAGGTTCTTGGTGAAAAAATAGCACCTGGGACCAAAATATATAACTGTCACCATTCAAAACAACAATACATGCAACAGTTATGTGGGCAGGTAGTTTCTGCTAGGTATGCTTGAAGGAGATTGAGGTGCATGTCCAAAGTAGAGGAGAAAAGCCAGAGAAACCAAGCACCAAAACATAGTCAAAGAGAGAGCAAGAAAGAGGTAGGACAAGAGGAGTCTGGACACTGGTCTAGCCAGAAAGGGGCTTTTAATTATTCCTTTACATTGCTTGATCTTTGTATTTTCAGGGAAACGGAACACTGTATTTTTCTTAAAAACACAAATGAATAATAGACAACTGGCTCCAGCACCAACTTTTTGTCTTAAAATAATTCAAAGACCCCAAATTCATTCACGACCTGAAGATTTCAATGACAGCACTGGGTATTATATAACTATTTATCATAAAACCTTCCTAGAATGATAATTTCCATTGGCTGTGCAATAAGTTCCAAAGACAAATTAGGACTAATATCTCTTTCACCACCTATGAATTTGGCCACAGTGGAAAGCCTCTCATTTACGTACTCAGAAAGGAAGAATAAAATCTCATTTTAAGTTGGACCATTCTGTTCTTTATTTTATTAGTCCCTCATTACACCTATTCCCAAGATTTTAAGTCTCTTCATATGAGAATTTTTCACATCTTTAATTAGCTTCTTAAACCTTCTCTGAAGCAGTAAAGCAGTCCTTTTCAAAAAGGGAAGACCAAGACTGCAATCATTTGTTCTAGATGAAACTGCACCACTAACTTACATTTTGTAACTACCTCCATTCAGCATTTAGTATTTTCCATCCCATTCCTTATGTTTCCTGTAACTGTTTTTCTTACAGTAGCTGCATTACCAGCTCAGGTCCACAATAACACCTGGAAATCCCTGAATGCTTCTAGTATGTGAACAGCTCTTTTTTTCTCCAGGATGCACTGATTCATATTTAGCCTCATTAGCCTAGCCATGAGAATTAATTTTTTATCATACTGGACATTAACCTAGCATACTTTTAGTGTTTCAGACTCTTCCACAGGACTTGGCTAAGCTATTTTTTCCATAGTATATGAAATATCAGTGGTTTCAGTACCTCATCCATCATCGTGACTTTTTCACAAAAATCTTAAATGTTAGACCCTTGCACAGATCTTTGAAATAAAGCTTCACAAAATAACTATTCATTCTTATTCTTGGCTTCAATTTGTTACAGGGACAGGTCAGAAACAGTTCATGTCTGAGATACGTTCTTCAAGAGACATCTCTTCCCCCATTCTGAAAACATTTGTACTAGAGACACCAAAACCAAATAATCCAACAGTTCCATACCTATCCAAGTGAAAGGCCGCCACTTCTGCGTTGTGTCTGTCATACCCAGCGTACGGCTCTCCTTCCACAACATAGTCCCTGGCATATCTGTAATCGCAATAAGCCAAATAGGAGTGATTCATGCGGTATTCCCATCAGCTTTGCTGTTCAGAGTAACAAGTGCAAGAATAACGCAAAGTTAAACAGACTTGGGGTCACTTTCAAAACGATTGCCTATGGGAGAGGGAAAAATCATTAATGATATTAAACAGCGTAGAGACTGGTGAAGTAGTAAATAGGAGGAAAGGTCAGTAATTCACAGTGGTCTCAAGTGCTTGGGAAGCTGGGCCCATTCAAACTAATGAGTTTTAATTCAACCATATGCCAAGTCACATCTAAGAACAAAGAATACAAACCCAACTACAGAACAGGGGGCTATTTATATGGGAAAGCAGCAACTCTGCAAATGATTTGGGGTTAGAAGGACTGTCGATTAACACGAAAATACAATCTGATATTGTGGCAGAAACGCTAGATGCAATCTTTGGTAGCCAGAAGATCAGCAAGTGTGAATCTGAGGAGAATACTGGCTATAAAAAGACCCTTTATTTTGGTAGAGAAAAAACATAATGAACAGAAGAAATAGATATTAGACACGCATTACAACAACAACGGTATATTTGGGCAGAGTGGTGGTTTGTGTGTGCGTGTGTTTTTTGTTTTAATAGCGGAGATGTTACCAAACTAGTCAAGCAAAAATTTCAGAGACTCATTACATTCGAATCAGGTCTAGATACTCCTTAAGAGGTATGCTTCAGAGAAGCATAAAATACTACAATCAATCAAGGAGCAACTGGGCAAAACGCAGTATGTTTTCACATAAAGTAGGACCAAATTAGATTACCTGTTTTCTCATTTCCACCTATGAACCTGAATTTTATAAACTGGACTATTTCTAACAGACTTAAGGTTCAAGCAACAGCGTAAGCGCCCTACTTAGATGTTTTAACCCTGCCCAGAGAAGATCTCTAGGGCAAGACAACAGTCCATTTCATCAGACTGAGTAAATGCCTTATCTTCGCTGTTAGGCAGCTTAGAGGAGAATTACCTAGTGCTAGACGGGGTAGAGTTTTTGGGAGGCAGATTCCTGTCAAATTTGGAACTTGCTGCAGGCAAGCATCTTATTTCACATAAACTACTGGCATGTAACGGTAGCAACTTTTAATCATTACAGACTTAAGATGGACTTCAAGTAATTTTGAGATGAGACAGCTATCCTCAACACAGGTCCTCAAAATCAAGTCTTTTCTATGTACTTAGAGCAGGTTCTTGAAAATACAGCCACGCTTTGAAAGCTACAGAGCTAAAATTTATTGGGAAAACACAATCAACTTATTGCTTCCATGCACAGTAAATAAAGTCTTTCTAAAGCAAAGATGCCAAATCAAGAGAATTAATTCTTCCCCAATCAGTAAGCTTTCTCAAAAAGATTGTTTAAACGCACTATCTTGCGGTGGCAAAACAGGACTCTTTCTACAAGTCATGCCATTCAATGGTCACAAACAGAACATGAGTCTACCACTACGGCCAAGGCCATACTGCCTAGCACTCCTACAGGCTGTCCACCATTTATCTCTAATCATTCCCAGTTGCGTATGTCCCTGACAAAGCATACCCACTTTGTTTGCCTACACTGATGTTCCATTACTGGAATGCAATTTAATGCTTCGTGAAACACTTCATAGCATTCACTTATACAGAAAGCACTCCAGAAATATCATGTCTTATTTCTGTATTTACTGGAAAAGCTGCCTGTGGTACCACCAACACTTCTGCGTAGAAGGCTCATGCTGTTTAAACACAGCCCAGCCCCTCAATGCGGCTCCAGCCAGACTAGTAACTGACCATACAGGAATAGTATCGTGAATTCAAGTAGTTGAGGGCAGATTTTTTATCATTCTCTAATCACTCATTAGCATGACAGGAAAACTTCATGCCTCCTACACCCAACATCCTTTAGGGAGAGATGTACTCGTTTTGTGATGACAGCTTTTACATTTGCAGTGCACTCCCATAAAACACCTGCCTTACCTCTTTATATCTTTCTTTCTCTTTATCTTCCCCAAAGGCAATCAAGCTTTATAGGCACGCATAAGACTCTCTATAAATGTCCAGTCCTGTCAAATTTCCCTACTGACAACTATTAGAATAAATGCAAAATAACTACATCCAGTTGCCTATGGTTTATTGAGTCCCTGAGCTGCTGATCACTGTAAACACAGGGCATACCAAGGAACTACCACTACCTGCACGTCCTGTTCTTCCCCTCTGGAACTCACCGTCAGCCACTGACAGAGATAGGATGCTTCTGGTCTTTCGGTGTGACCTAGTAAGGCGTTCTTGCATTCTTCATGCAGAAATACCAGACATCTAGATCTACTTTTGTGACCACTGTCAATTCTCACCCCTTCCCTATTCTTGAACTCCATTCTCACATAGAAGGCTTGGCATGACTCTCATTCAGGAAGATTAGGCAAGAATTGCCTCCACGCTGCCAGAACCAGTACTTCCAGCATCCAGAAGACATTACTCAGAAACATCAGGCTTAACCAACATTCCCTCAGGACTGACCACAAGGTTATTCTTTTAACCTAAAGAAAGGCTCTTTTGAGCACGGAAAGCTATACCGCTTGAGAGTCAGGTGGAAGAGCCACTGAATGTTACTACAAGCCAAGCGTGACTCCATACAGCCCATCTCCCAATTAACAGAACCGATTTTGTTTAAGCGTAAATTTGCCACTTAGAAGACTAATGAAATAACATGGAGATAAAAATACACAAAGCGGTAATTCATTCAGTCATTGAAGGGAATGTTTACCTTTTGGGTTTGAAGACAACCTTTTGTCCCCCTTCAAGTATGAGCAAAGCTTTCAGTTGGGTCCCTTTGTATCCCACATCAGCTTTTATTATTTTCTTTGTTGACATGGCATGCATAACAGCCCCTAGCTCCGGTGTCTCCTCGGGATACACCTCCCGGGGCACCACCCATTGAGCTGCAATCTCCCAAGGGGACTGCAAGGTATGGTCAAGTCGGGGGTCCAGTTCAACACGGAGGCTTGCCATCATACGGTGAAAGGCGCGCTGGTCCTCCCGGTTGGCAGCTGAGGTGTCCAAGTTGTCAATGAGGAAAACTTTTGTGAAAATGAAGATGACAAGGAGGATGGCCAACAGCACAACTCGCTGCTTTAGCTTCATGGTGACCTTCAACCCTTCTCCCCCGACTCTTTCTTCCAAGCGTTACAGGAAGTCTATTGGAGATCAGGGTGAGGAGGGGGATGTTAATTAATGAATTTCATTCATAACTTGCACTGTGAAAGAGGTATTGCCACTGAAGCGTCTTCTGGTGCCCCTAAAAAGCAACAAAATACAATTAAGTTTGCGGACATGCCTTCCTTTAGATCCCAACGCATTCAAAATCTAGTCCTTTTTTGGTGCATAACTCTAGATAATGTACACTTATGTCCTAAAGGCTCGGTATTTCTGTTAAAACATAGGAGTTTTGCTGTAGCCCTGTAGCCTTTAAGTGACCTACACAAAAGGGGGAATTGACTGATACCATCTCTACTCAACTGAAATCACAATAGCTTGTGTTGCTGGTTGTGACTATAGGGGCAAAACCTTTTCAGAGAATTATACTTTTAAGCTGATGGCTCCAACTTCACAAACACCTTCCTGTTAGCAAGGGAATCCACGACCTTTGGTTTCCTAAAGATTTGCCCCTCAAGAGGGAGCGCCCACGTAAATTTCTCTGACCTCTAACAACAGTTGTACAGCTGCACAGCCTAGTTTCCTAGAGATGTAAGGCATAAGGACAGAAAAGATTTAATTTGTCTATTGCCTTTCATTTGCAGTTACTCTAGTTAACCTATCTCTTCTTCCTTCTCAAAAAGGGGGAAAAAAAAAAAAAAAAAGTTGAGGACATCCTCATTTCCTTGCACTTAACCATGCATCTTCTGCAGTCATCTGTAAAACCAACAGCCACAAAAATATACAAAATATCCATAATCCCAACATCAAAGTAACATGAAAAAACCCCCAAACACTAATACTGCTTCTTCTCAGAAACCTCACCCACACATAGTTAAAGCCACACTGAGCTTCTACATTTACAGTGCGATGCGAGACATGCCTCACTTCTCAACAAGCCTTTGCCAGTCAAATTTTAGCACATAAGGACCACATAACACAGTTAAACAACTGTATTTCAATTATAAAGGGAGAAATTATCTTCATATTATTAATGGAATATAGTTGAAAACCAAAGAGAAATTGATACTCGGTCTCATCTCTGAGGAACACTTAGAGTCAGAGATTTCTCTTTGCACAAACTATGTTAATCACGGAAATCACAAATGGCACCCTGAGCTAGGGTAGGACTAATACAGAAAAGCCTTCTCATGTGAGTTAACAATAAGTATATAAACCAGTCAGTACTAATCATGTCACTGGAAAAACAAGCTGCACAGGCTAAATTAATTTACCAACAGCAACCATGGGACAACAAGACTATGACTTGCTGGGCAAACACAAATCACAGCCATCTTTGGTGACTGTGTGCACAATGATTCTGAGGGACATGAGCATCCCTTATCAGGTACATCTGTATTGGAGTTAAGGATGCAGTGAACAGCAGATGACAGTAAGGTGCATCCTTGAACATTGAGCAAGTCATCACTGCAGAATCAAGTCTGGCTAAAACCACATGCAAGCCTCAGGGCGTGATTGTGCTGTAGGTTAAGTAAATTCACATTAGGTCTGCAGCAGACCCAGCCGTCCCCTCCCGGGTCACATCACTCACTCTCCCACCTTCCCACGTGCCAGTGGTAGCATTCATACAACCAGTCTGTGAGCCAGTTCAATGACCCAACGAAACACTAACTAAGCTGCTGATCCATCCAAATATTAATCACTTTCTGTGGTTCGTGCGGACAGGCTAGTTTTATGCCAACACATGGCTTATCATCTGACTACAAACAACCCAGTGCTGGTGCAAGGAAGAGAGAGAGAGAAGAGAGGTTGGCACAGCAGCTCCGATAATGAGTTGTACAGCAACTGTACAAAGTCCACCTATCTACAAAACTGTACTTTTAAGTTATTTAAGTCAGTACTGCCACCTAAAGAACGGTCCTGTCCTTCAAATATCTCCAACCTTCACAAAATAAACTCCATGAAAGATCTGACTAGTGTTAAAGCTCAAACATTTTTAATTACTTGTTTTTAGCTGTAGCCCTCCTTCCTCAAATCTGGTTTCCAATACGGTTGCACAAGCATTTGAGGAGGCCACACCATGAGGTCAAGAACAAGCGCCTCTTCTCACAGTAGCGCTTGCGATAGTTTAGCGCGTAGGCCAAACTACAGCCTAAGCCAGTGCAACAAAGGACAAGCAGCTGAACCATTGGAAACAGTTACAAAAAGCCCACCTTCAGGAGCAAAGTCTATAACAAACTGCCAAATCTTCACGTTTTCAAAGCAACTTTCAGAACAGCTACGAAGCTGAACACCACTCAAACTTACAAGCAATGCCCTCTGAAGATACACGAGAATGGCTTTTAGCTCAGTCTGCCATTTAGTTTTTTTTTTCTTGCTGCCATTGTCCTGCTTCATGTGACAGCCCCGTACAGTTTGGCTCTTCCCAGGTAACACATTTTGCCTCTTAAATACTCTGGATAAAACCTGTCTGCAGAAGCTCATAAGACAGTGAAAGAGAACGGTAGAGGGTAGGGTAAAAGAAGGCCACCAAATATTAGGGATGCTTCAAACTAGCCCTATGGTCCCCTGTTAGCTGTGTAATAGTGGCTTTCATCTGCTGGCAATGAGCACTTGTACTAAGAGTGAAAGGCAACAAGCCAGACATTTATATGGAAATTAAAACAAATTCTTGTTCATCTCAGTTCTATTTAGGCAGCATATGATTTCTCCAAACAACATGACAACTTGCATAGTATGCACAGCAAACATGAGAATAAGTACAGACAAGGAAGACGGACCTGACCAGAATTCTTACAAAGACAGTCAGTCTCTCAGAGAAAGAGCCCTAAATAACAAATGTTACTTTTAAACTTAAGAAAACCAAGTAGATTAGGCTAGAACTCTACCCTCAGACCACTGTTTCATTTCTTTAAAACTAGTAATTCTAAATCATCCTGAACTTCACTGTTACCAAGATCCACTTTCATTCACTGTCTAAACTCCATTAGAGTTTACAAGAACATATATATAAAAATATATAAATATGTATTTTTAAAGCCTCTCACCCCAACGTTGGCCAACTAAAGCACTGGACAGAAATGTTTCACACCTTTGGACTTCAAGCTCGGCACTCACTTTCCTGGGATGATTTTCAAGAAAGCCTAGTTTCTCTAGAGGAGGTGTTTGTTTTTTGACACAACATAACTAGAATCGCTACTTAAATCAAAGATTATTTACTTAGCTTATCCTTTGTGACAGCTTTGAAACTAATTTTGGCTGAAAATCTCCAACTACATAGACAGAGTTTAGCAAAAAAAAAAAATTAAATATTTGATACAAGACATTTTAGTAATTGCCTTAACAGAATAACAAATCCTCACCAAATGTTTCTCCTCAAATTATGCAATTACTCCTAACATCCTACCTAAACCCCTGCTGTAATTTTGCTCTCTACAGCTTTAAGCAGGTGAGACTGATCCGGCTTCTTCCTGACATCTGCTGAAATGAGTCATCAGCTGCTTTTCTCCAACAAACAACAAAACACCCCTGAGGTTGCTATGCAATCGATTTCACAGACTAGCTGCAGAGCATGCACGTTACTCTTTAGGTGCCAACATTATGCTCGTTGCTGTACGAGGCAAGCGAGAAAAAAAAAAAACACAAAAGCAACCTCCCCCCGCCAAACCCCAATCCCTTCATGACGAAGTTTACCACAGAGAGCAAGAACTTAAGCTTCGTTGTTTTAAATCAAAGATAATAAGAGTGACAGCATTATCATATCATAAGAAAATATTTACAGAGTTTTGGAAGAAATTAATTTGCAGATGAGGTCAAGCCTCTTCATGATGGACTGCAAAAAGAGGGTTACGAAAACTCAGGAAGCGTGAAGCTGACCCTGCAATGAGGACAGATATGGAAAGGGAGGCCAGAGAAACAAATGAAAAAAAAATTAAAAAAAAAGAGAGAAAGGCAAAACTGAAAGCAGAACTCCATGGAACAGAGGACAAAAAGGTCTAGGAGACTAAAGTGAACCCAGGGGTAATCTTGGAAGGAGACACAAAAAGAAAACAGTTCTAGAAAAAATCCCTATCTAGAAGGGGATAGAGTTTAAGGGAACGACGTTCTGACTTCCAAAAAAGAGGCAAAGAGATAGAGCAGGCGAATACTTCTATATGAGAGCCATGGGAATATGAGCTGTATAAAACGGTACTAGATGCTCTTTAAACCAGAAGGCATCAGAGGAAAAGCCGCCACACAGTTCCAGTAATCAAACAAATGTTAAGCCTCCAACCAGAGCTGACGTGACAGTGAGAGACCACTGCATGTACAGTCCCAAAACACACACTCCTCCTGCTATAGGGTAAGCAGCCACCAGTCTCTCGCCAAGGTTAGGTAATTTTCAGCTTTGGAGGTTTTTGTTTGTTTGTTAGTTGGGTTTTGCGAAGTGTCTTTCTAGCATCAGGTTTAGCTATCGTTATTGAACCAAAGACAGTCCAAAGAGTTTTACTGCTCCATTACCCAAATTCCACCTATGTGTCACTGGACTATAAAAAAACCCACCTCCCTCTACCATTTTACCTTATCCCTGATCTACTAGAAAAAGGAAATAGTCAGAAATACACAACAATACTAGCTTCTTAATAGTGTAATCAGCTGGCAGGTTTGAATCAAGGCTTCCTGTTTTTCACCATCTCTTCAGGATATTTCCTGATCAATTTTATTTCTAAGCATACCTATGTCTCTATTCTCAGCAAGTAACAATTCTTCCAAGTCAATATCCAAATGATAGCATCTGCCACAGTCATTATGCACACAAACACCTGAACTAAAGCAAGCCCACTGGCACTAAACACCAACACCATACTACTTTGCTCCCAGTTCAACAAGCAGCATGAAACTTGCCTCCTATAAACAGCAGGAAAATCCTACCTACTGTAAGCAGCCTACAAAGTGAGCTAAGAAGCTCACTTTATATCCCAGAAAACAATTTTCCTTTGAGATGCAAGACCAACGCTATGTCACATACCATAATCTAATTTTTATATCATTAAACTAGAAAGCTACTATCTCAAAACAAACTTGTGTACATTATACAAGGATTTCATTATGCCCCAAATGAAAGAAAAGGTCTAAGGGTAGGGTTTGGTCTACCAGCACCAGGATATAGAATATCATAGCTCAAGCAGATCTGGAATAAATACGGATTAGTATGTTCTAGTGCCCGTTTACATCATTTTTTTCCCTCTTCTTAAATACACTATGCTTCTTGTGATCTCCTATGAAAAGATCTTTTAAAAATTCTCCAGTAAATCTGGGAAGAAGCAGTAAAGAAGCAGTAAAGAAACAGCATATACAGCAGTAACGTTTTCCTCTTCCTAAAATGTATTTCAGTCTCACCGGATCAATCTTTCTTCCCATCCTCCCCTCTCCGGCAGACTCCTTAGTAGCTTACGTTTTCTCTTTCTGCATAAATGTTATTTTAGTTTTTCTCGACAGGCTCCCACAGACCTCACCTTAGATTTTTTCAGAGTCACTCTGTCACTTCCACTCGCTGTATGCAGACCGTTCTGTGCACTAGTTCAGCGATCTCGTGCATAAGGCTTCCTACGTATTTCCTTGTCTGCTATGTCAACGTTTCTTTTTCTGTTAAAAACCTCACTATCTATAGACACGCTTTCCTTCACGTGTCTGCAACTGCATTTCCAGTTGAGAGCTAGAGCGTAGATAAAATATGAAAGATTGCAAACATTTTAACTGCTATATTATCTGCACCTATCACTGTAAAAGCCAGTAACTGCCCTAGGTCTTCTTAGCAACTTTTCTGAGAGAAATGAAATCACTTTGTCCATCTGTCCATCCATTTTGCCCCATTATGTTCTTTAGCCACTTTAGAACCTACTAACTGAGCTGCAGCCAAACTTGCCAGAGGAATGCTTCCACGAGCACTAGAAAAACAACTTGCTGGACAGAGGACACAAAACTCAAGAAGTCAGGAACAACTCAGGACACATCCTCAGTCTGTACCAGCAGCTAGCTGGCCACTTAGCAAACAGTAAGATCTGAATCAGCGGGCTGCACAAAGGAAGACAGAGGCAGACGGGGACACAGGAGGAAGCTGGGTGTCCGGCTGGGGAGAGGAAGGGTACACAAAGGACTGAGTATTGTAGGAGACAGACTGGAGGGTAGATAGAAGGCAGGCAGCAATTACTATGGTAAGATGTGGCAAGCAAGTCAAGAGGAAACTAGGCTTCACTAATTCTTCTCCTAACAGGAAATCTTTCTTTTAAGCAGTTTCCTGTGGAAGCAAAGTTCATATAATCACATTTTCACCAATAAACTTTCGGATCCTTTAACTAACTTCAAATAAATGACAGAACAGTAGATGTTTTGAAGATAAAGTTTATGCGTTCGTTGGAAATTAGCAGCTGGACAGAGCCGAGGGAAGGGCTGCAACGTTAGCTCAACAGTTGTCAGTTCACCTAGACCATCTGGCTAATCAGCATGCGCACAGCTGGTACATGGGAGGGAGCTGGAAGTACTGTATCAGGAGGAGAGAATCAGAAGTATTGTAAAGCAGAATCACAAGGGACATGGGCAAGAGCTAGGGTTACTGAAGCAGCGGGTGCTGAGATCCAGGACTGTGAATACAACAGACAATCCATTAGTTTTGCTACTTAGGGAACAACTCCTCCTCTCTCCCCCCACCCATGTTACTGAAGTTCTACCTGACTATTACAGGCAGACACGCAATTACAGCAATAAAGAAAGGTTGGAAAGCCTTGTTCGGCTTTGAAGTAAAGCCAAGGTAGTGGGAAAATTCTGTAGTTTTCCCTCTCAGCTTGGCATTCTGACGTTTAGCCAGTTCACAGGCACCAAAAATCCAACTAAGGTCCAGGCAGCCGTCTAACGTTCAGCAACAATAAGGCTGACTCTGCCATAAGATAGCACCAATCAAATTCCATCGTTCACAAGAAGGGGAGCAGTAGGCAATGAACGACAAGATAGGAAATTTTTGGTTTCAACTTTGGTTTCAATTCACGTTTCAACTTTGTCGATGCGCAAGAGAACAAAATCACCTCACCCGCCTGAGACTTTGGACTACAAGCAGGAACAAGTCTTGTTGCAACTGAGTGAGTCAGACTTAAAGACATAAGATGTACATGGCATCACTTTCAAACTAAAATTAAAGCAGAATATTAATACCCTGCTCCACAATAAGCATCACGTGTGATTTGCTCACGGGGAATTCACAAGACTAGAACCTATGTTTTACAGGGTTTTTTTTTTTTTCTCCTCACTCAGACCCATGAGCGTGTAAGTATTTTAGGATCAGTGCCTCAACTAGCCTAAACCAGAACAGCTGCACTGCTCATACAAGCCTCAACCTACCAAGGATCTATCCACCAAGAATGAGACAGACTTGCTTTAGAAATCATCAAACCCATAGCTCTGATAACCATAATCGACGTTTACGTTCAACGATACAGATCTTATTTTTCACAACTACGCAACAGCATCATCTGAGTTGTGAGTTGTACTCGGTACATCAAGAAGACGGCTACTCACAAGTGCACTGCGTTATTAAAAAGACAGAAGACTTCACAGCTGTAGAAGGTTCTTTTCCCATCTGGCAGCAACAATCCAGACGCATAAGGAGATGTAAGATAAACGTTCACGTGGGTTACAGGACTGCCAGTGAAGTCCTTAACTGCCCACGGAGGAAATCAAGCGGTAGTTCTGTCCAATCTTTCACACACGGAAATCGTAAACGGACTTTTAACGAAGCAGATCTGTCAAGGCAGCACGCTTCCGATGCGCAGGCGGACGGGGCTGCGCAGATTTCCGCGCGCTACTAACGCGGACCGCGCAGCCCCCTTGGCGCGGCAGCGCCCCCAGCCGCCCCCCGCC